GGTTTCCGTACTTTTTTCTCTTGGAATGGCACCTAAATATAAATCTGGGTAATATTTATAAAATTATTCTTAAATATATTATGTTACATTACTATTTTTTTTAAAAAAAAAAAAAAATTCAAAAAAAAAAAAAAAAAAAAAAAAAAAAAAAAAAACAATTGAGAAGAAGCGACAAATACTATTCTTTACTAAAACATGTACGGCGGGAAATCGGGATCTTCTCCGAGGCATTTGAGAGGAGATCGGCATCAGGCTAGAAAGTTGCTGCCTGAGGAATTTATTTGCCCGATCGGGTAAAACAGCCAGCACCGACTATTGCAAATGTAAACGTGAGGACATCAGACGGAGAGCCCAATATTTTGGATTGACAGTAAAAAGGACCCTTGTTTAGATTGAGGGCAAAAGGAAAGAAACCAGATCAGACATTAATCCTCAGTTTGTGACCGGTCAAGCAGATGTTCCCATCGTGGCGATGTCTACTCACGTGACCGCGCGTAGATGCCGTCGCGTCCCGTCGGGCTTCTGACAGTCTCTCCTGTCTATCCCGGCATCCAGATCCATCCCCCCGCGATGGTGTTCAAGCCATTCAAACCTCCTTTGATTAGGAAGCCTTCCCAGCATACCGCCTCTGAATCGACTCCGTCCAAGGACCTCCCCGAGAGCAACGGTCCGCCAGCGAAAAGACAACGCGTCCACCAGGAGCCTTCAACAGAGAATAGAAGGCCTTTGCTGCAAGTGAAGAATACAACTACAGTATCAGGCGAGTCCTCGAGTGACGATTCGAAAGGAGAAAGATACTTCAATGTCTTATGGTACGGTGGAGATCCATCCCCGCTGTCGCTTCCATTTCTAACAGCTCATCTCACATAGGCGGAAACCGACCACGAAAAAGAACAAAACCTGGGACGGTGATGGCATTCTGTCCACGCGAGATGGATATGCATACTTACAGGATGTCTCGGGAAAGGAAATGGGACGGGTGATGCACGATTCTCGCTTAGAGCCGGGAGTAATGCTCTCAGTCTCTGGCAAAGAAGTCGAGATCGACTCGGAGATCGCCAGACAGGAATACTTGTCCGGTAAAAAGCTTTTGGGAAATAAACAGACTCCCGTTGCTATATCGCCCCCGCGCAAGACCTCTGTTACTGTTTTAGGAAAACGCGAGAATGCTTCCAAACCCTCCGTGCCCGGAAAACAACCCCCGAACGAGAAGAGTCGTGTCCCAACTATCCCCAACCCTGCTTCATCAAGGCCGAAGTCGAAGATGGGTGCGTACAAACCCCCACTTCTGGACACTACCGCTGTACCTCAAACGCCAAAAGAACAACCTACACCCCGGCACGATCCCACACAACCAAAAGCATTGGTGATGCCGCGACCAACATCCGCGCCCTCAGGAAAGCAGATCGTGGACGTGGTCGTTGACCCTATACTCGCTAAACATCTACGACCGCATCAACGCGAAGGTGTCAAGTTCCTATACGAGTGTGTCATGGGTATGCGATCATTCAATGGCGAAGGTGCTATACTGGCGGACGACATGGGTCTGGGCAAAACCTTGCAAACAATAACGCTTCTGTGGACTCTCCTGAAACAGAATCCAATTTACCAAAGCCAGCCGGTAATCAAAAAAGCTCTTATTGTATGCCCCGTCACGCTTATCAACAATTGGCGAAGGGAATTTCGCAAATGGCTCGGAAATGAAAGAATAGGTGTTTTCGTTTATGATGACAAGAAGAAACGAATAACCGACTTCACCAGGGGCAAAGCTTACAGCATCATGATCGTGGGATATGAAAAATTGCGAACCGTTCAGGAGGGTCTAGCAAGTGGCGCCGGAGTCGACATCGTTATCGCAGACGAGGGTCACAGACTGAAGACGCTGCAGAACAAAAGCGGCCAGGCAATCCAATCACTGAATGCGGCGAAGAGAGTCATTCTATCTGGAACCCCAATCCAGAACGACCTGAAGGAATTCTTTGCTGCCGTTGACCTCGTTAACCCCGGGGTTCTTGGAACCTTCAAGACCTTCATCCGAGAATTTGAAGTCCCGATTGTGAAAAGCAGACAGCCTGAAGCGACGGAAAAGGATATAGAAAAAGGAGAGGCCAGAAGTGATGAACTACGGGAGTTAACCTCCAAGTTCATGCTACGCCGGACAGCAGACATCCTGGCTAAATACCTTCCTCCAAAATCGGAGTACGTGCTTTTCTGCAACCCAACGCCTACTCAGGCCAACATCTACCAAAACGTGCTTGCATCCCCGGTCTTTCAAAGCGCCATAGGCAACTCTGAGAACGCTTTACAACTTATTACAATTCTCAAGAAGTTATGCAATAGTCCTTCGCTACTTTCTCCTAGAAATCAAGATGAGAAGCCTAGCGAGACAATTGCGTCTTTGTTGTCCTCTCTTCCACCTAACCTGCTACGCCACTTTTCGCCCTCTTCGAGTGCTAAGATCAGGGTCTTAGATCAACTACTATACAATCTACACACAAAAACATCAGAGAAGATAGTTCTTGTTTCAAATTACACCTCAACACTGAACTTACTAGCTACCCTTCTAACATCTCTCTCCCTTCCATTCCTCCGGCTTGACGGTTCCACACCAGCACAAAAGCGTCAGTCCTTAGTGGAAGACTTCAATCGCCTACCCTCAGATCTTTGTTTTGCTTTCCTATTGTCCGCGAAGGCAGGAGGGACAGGCCTGAACCTGATAGGTGCCAGTCGCTTGGTTCTATTCGACGTTGATTGGAACCCAGCCACCGACCTTCAAGCGATGGCCCGAATTCACCGCGATGGTCAGAAACGACCTTGCCGTATCTACCGAATTCTGCTGAAAGGCAGTTTGGAAGAGAAAATCTGGCAACGCCAAGTGACAAAACTGGGATTGGCTGATAGCGTCATGGAGAATAAAGACAGTGTGGCTCAGTTCTCGCGCCATGAGCTCAAGGATCTTTTCCGTCTCGACCAAGAAAGCAAGTGCCAAACCCACGAACTGCTGAGTTGCGACTGCGGAGGGCGAGGACAGCTAGTCTCTTCAGAGAATAGCATCACCAAAGACGAAATCTCCGATTCCGGTGACTCAGAAGACGGGAGCGAGAACGACGACGAGGACGAGGAATTTCCCGACTTACCCACCCTCATCAAGGCTTCCGAACTAGACATCGAGAAGCAAGAGCGGGACATCAAAACCCATCGCTACCACAGTCGAAATCGCTCTCGACGATCTTCGCACAAGACGGACGACGAACCATCCGATAGCAAGCCCGGCGCAGGAGGTAACAAACAAAGACTCAACATGCAGCAATCGCTATCTCACTATGCGCACATCGATCCAGACCTGCTCTCCAAACCCACTGGTGAAACAGACAGCGCTCAGCAGGTCCTGAATGATGAGGTCCTCCTTTCCGTTCTGCAAGATGAGGATAATCGAGTCGGGTTCATCTTCAAGAAGTCCAGCGTTCCCCAGCCTAAGAGTGATGATGCCCCGACGCCGATAGTGGTCGACTGATTTGGTGTCGCACACCTAGCGCGCGCTTTGTCTGGTCTGCTGGTTTCATATTAAGTGACGAACAAATTATATTAGACATGACTTCGGAATTAAAAACTAAAGACCTCAATACCTTATCTGAAATGTATATAGCTGGCATTTTATTCAGCCACTAATCCAAACATCCATTTTCACTTATATTCCTCTTCTCTTGACTATATGAAGAAATACCTTTCTCCCTAAATTGCAATAAAACCTCATCTCTTTCATTCCTCTGCCCATGCTTGAAAAAATAAATAAAATAAAATAAAAAAGAAAACGAAAAGGGAGAGGGATAGAGAGAAAGAAAGGAATAAAAGAGTGAAGATTCATAGATACACAGACAAAAAGATTTCAATCAATTCATCCAAGCCCGATGCACCCCCAACTCAAGATCCGCGCGAAAGCTCGGATCAACATGATACGGAAACACATACCTCAACTGCTCCTTCTCCAACTTCATCTCCTCCCCAGGACCAAGCACGCAAACGGCCATCGGAAACATATCCAGCTGCAGGAACGCGAGAGACAGCGCCGCTCGCAATCGATACATGCAGTCGGCCATGTACTCGGCTATGGATACTTTCGTCTTCGAAGACGAGGATGACGGCGGCGGGCGGATGCAGACGACGGAACTGACCATGGAAGAGCCGTAGACGTTGTCGAAGGGGATTTGGGCGACGAGGGTATTGTGGAGGAAGGGGAAGGCGGAGAAGGTGGTTTCCATGACGTGAACGGGGTCTTTGGTCGCTGTTCGTGATGGGTTAGTGTTTTATTATATGAGATTTAGTGGATTATTTGGGAGTAGGAAGGGTGGCTGCTGGGATGCGTACGTTTATTGATTCGTTCTTCGTAGATGTATTCGCCTTCAGGGGAGAGGTGGGCGAAATCACCGGTGCGGTAGAAGCCTTCCTCGTCGAAGACGGACTTGGTGCGTTTGGGATCATTCATGTAGCTGTTAGGTCCGGAGAGTCTGTGTTAGTGATGCTGGACGGCTGGATGATTTGAGTAGAATAGGATGGATATAGGCAGACGATTAAAAGCAATACCTACCCAGACATCACATTGGGCGATTTGACCAGAAGCTCACCATGATCGCCGTCGGAGAGTTTGGCTGTGATGCCTGGCTTTGGTTTTCCGATGCATTTCTATGCGAAGATGAGTGTCAGCTAAGAGGACAAAATCAAGTTGCCATAAAAAAAATACATAGTCATCCGAAACCGTATCAGGGCCCGTACACAGAGCCAATCCTCCCAGCTCAGTGGCCCCAAACACGTTATAGATCGGACACTGCAGGTCCTCTTTCCAAAAGCGCAGAACCGACGCCGGTGTGATATTTCCCTGTGTACAAGGAAACATAATTCGCCGTGCACCCTCTAGATAGCCATCTCGTGCCTCCTGCGGGAGCTGCTGGATGCGATTGCGGTAGTACCAGGCCATTTCGTTCCAGGTGTCTGGGATGGTCGTGAAAGAGCAGATGCGGTTGTTGCAGAACTGCTCCCAGATCTCGGCGACTCCGTCAGCGCGGGAGATGAAGTGCAGTTGACAGCCCGTTGATAGAGGTATGGTGAGGATATTGAAGGAGCTGATGGCTTGCACGGGATCGGATATCATGAGGAAGATCTCCTGAGGAGGGAGTTGTCCGGGTCGGTCAAGGAAGCGTCGGTTGTGCAAGATTCCCTTGGGCTTCTCGCCTGTCGTTCCGCTGCTGTAGACTAGCATTCCTGGACGGTCCGGGTCGGTGGGGATCTCTGTATCCATTCGAAGATTAAGATCCTCCAGCTGGAGAGGCAGTGGTTCAGTAGAGCTTTCGAAGGGAATAATCTGGATAGGAGATCCCTGGGCAGAGGCCAGATGCTGCATCTCAATGGCAAAGTTCTTTTCGAGAGCGCCGTAGACCAAACAGGTCGATCCGGAAAGCCTCATCAGACTGAGCGCATACTCTGCTGGGCAACCGAATCCTACAAATATTACGTCGATCAGCGTATCAGCCCACTTGTCAAGATGGTTTGGGGAGACTCACGAATTGAAGCAAATGCCTGGCCCGAAGCGAGCACGGCCAGGATTGTAATGACAAACTCGTAGTTTATGGGCATCAGTACGCTGATGAACGCGTCAGGTGAGGTTTCGTGTTTCCGAATGGCATTCTTCATGTGCAGGAGATCGGCGAAGATTCTCATGCTGTCGGCCTCGACGCCTATGCTTTTGTCGGAGATGACGACGTGAGACGGCCGCGCGATGGCATTGTCAACCATCCGCCGGAACATTGGTTCATCTGGAAGCGTGGTGGCGTCTGGTTTATTAGAGATATTCATGGTTGCTGTCACAGGTTGATTAAAGCAGTAGAGGTAGGCTGGACGCCGGGCGAAGAGAACGGGTGTCCGTCGCCCTTACATAGTTGGAGCGCGTTACATTTTAACCAACCCGTAGGATCATTCAGGTTGCATCGGTCCTTCTCTCACTGAACTAATGACCTCATGCTTTATAGGAATAGGTGATTCGAGACTGAAAACGGTTGATTCTGGAACCCAACTTAGGATCAGGTGGATGTATTAGTGATCTGATAACTAGCACTACAATCAAATACATGAAAGGCAATTTACACCCCAACGCCATAGTAAACAAACTCCCAATCCTCCCCTCGAATACGAATTCTAAAAAAATATTACTTTCAAGACACTTCCAGAGCCTCGGTCTCGGTCGGAATTTCAGCACCTGAAGCTCCGGCGGCAGCAGAACGAGCTGCTTCGGCCATTTCGCCCAGCGTGCTTCCTTCAACCAGGTCGATCAAGGGGATCTTCGCATCGAATCTCCGGGCAAGAAGCACCTGTAGTCGAACCAGCAAAATGGAATTCCCTCCTGCTAGAAAGAAATCTGTGTCCTCATCCAGATCGGACAAATCACTCAACGTTCCTTCCAACGTCTCTCCCCACAGCGCACCAATCTTTCCTACCCAGTCATTGGTCGTCGCCAACACCGATGGATCGACCGTCAGGCTTGACCGCTTGCGCTCTGGCAGTGATAGTTCCATGATTACTCTTCGATCAAGTTTACCATGCGCTGTAGTCGGCATAGTCTCGACTGGGACAATTAACGACGGCCGCATGTTCTGAGGAAGAGGCAATGTCGTCCGAATCTGGCGGAGGAAGATTTCCTTGTCGTATATTGTGGACTCCGGGGCAAACTCAGCGTGTGCCACGAGGAAAGAGGACCCGTCGACGGCGTCACGCAGAGTCGCGACCACTCGGTTTAGGGCCCCGCGTGCTGTGCAGAGAATCGCATTCTCTATGTCGCCAAGGTCCATGCGCATTCCGCGCAGCTTGACCTGTGAGTCGCCATCAAGTCGGCCTTCCAGGACCAACGCGCCGTTCTGCAATAGGTGACCCTTTTCGGAGGTGCGATACGCTCGCGTCCAGCCCTGCGCGGTGTTCGCGGGGGTGGCATATCGGTCGTGCACAAATTGCGTTTGAGTGAGCGTGTCGAGGTGCAAATACCCAAGACATGGGCCAGCACCACCAATCACAATCTCCCCTGATATTCCCGTGGGGACAGGGTTTCCCTTCGTATCCACGATATAAGTTGTGTAATTTGGCAGTGCATGACCGACCGGGATGACGGTCCCTTCGAAGGAGCTGCCATCCTGTCGTCGATAGTCCACTTGAATCTGGTGGGATGCGATTGTTGTCTCGCCCGGCCCGTAGAAGTTGATGAGACAGAGATGGTCCAGCTGTAGGTCCGCAAACGCAGCCGGAAGACTCCCCGGGAAGGCCTCGCCGCCACTGAAAGCCATTGTCCAGGTATCAGAGGCGGCCTTCAGAATTTCTGAAGCGTGCTGCATCCACAAAAGATATTCCGATGGGGTGGCCATGGTGCAGGTGATGCGCTGGTTTAAAATAATGCGAGCTAGGGCCGTAGGATCGCCGCGGACGGATCGGGGCGCAATCACAACTCGACCGCCGGTTGTGAGGCCGGTAAGCGCCTGCTCGAGCGAGATGTCGAACGTTGTGGCGCCTTGTTGTAGCACCACGGGAGCCTGGAGTCCGCATTGGTGCGTGAAGCCCTCGAGCTGATTCCGCAGGTTGGCGTGACTGAGTTGAAAGCCCTTCGGCCGACCAGTGGTCCCACTGCTGTAGAGAATCACCGCACAGGCATGCGCAGATGAGGCATCTGCTATCTCTCTGGCAGTAGGGCTCGCGTCCATGTTTAGTGCGGTGGTGTTTAGAATGGACGAGTGGTCAGTCACAGACATTTTCTGAAGAACAGGCTCGGTGTCGTCATCGCAGACGATAACTTGCGGCTGACAGTCTTCTATGGCAATTTCCAAACGTTCTCGCGGGCTATTCACGTCTAGTGGGACATAGACAGCTCCATGACGCCAGATTGCGAGCATGCAGACGATCCAACTCTCCGTTGGCTGCTGGAACAGGCACACAGTGGATGCCGGTCCAACGCCGAGCTCGGCCAGATGGCTTGCCACAACGTTCGAGCGGTGCATCAGTGCAGCATATGTGAGTCCGTGGCCACTAACGGGGTTGATGACGGCCATTTGATCCGAACTGGCACGCGCGATCTCTGCAATATGCCGGGAGAGTGTAGGCTGCCACTGTCCCGGCATTTCGGGTCCTCGTCCGAGGACAAGCGCGCCCTCTACGTCTGTGCGCGGATAGAGCGAAGGTCCTGTGACGGTTTGGACGGGATCAGAGGACACAAGTTCTTCTAACAGGGATATAAAACTATGAGCAACAAGGTGGGCCGCATCGCGAGTAAAAAGAGCCTGCTGCAGATGGAAGTTGAGGACGGATGTCCCGTGACCAGAATCCATGACGGAGAGCACCATATCAAAAGCCGTCTTATTGATGGTCCATTCTTGCACGTCAATATTCAAGCCTGCGAACCGACGTTTCTCGGCACTGGAAGGCTGCCAGTCCAGCATCACCTGGAACAGAGGACTGTGGGAGCCTGAACGTGGCGCAGCCAGCTCATCCAGAAGTCGGTCGAACTGCACACGTGAATGCGCCAGCGCGCCCCGCGCTTTGGTTTGTGTATGCAAGAGCACCTCACGGAAGCTCCGCTCCTCCAGGCTGCCGATGAATCGTAAGGGCAGCAGATTCTGGACTAGACCAATAAGTCGCTCATCCTCCTCCTCGATGCGATGCACGTCGGAGATGCCTATACAAAAGTCGGTGGACTGTGTTAGGCGGGCGAGAAAAATGCGAAGGACAGCCAGGAAGATGCCAAATGGTGTGATGCGCATGCGCTTGCTGAGACTCTGGACAGCTCCCATAATCGAGGATGGTAACTCGATTCGTACGTCCTCTCTTGGATGATCCGTGAGCACTGTACGCGCGGGCACGCGAGTCATGGGAAACAGCGGAATGGGATTAGGAAATGTTGTAAATTCCTGGCGCCAGTATGCTATGTCCTTGGACACTTGACCGGCCTCGTAACTTGCTCGCTGCGCCGCCGCATAGTCCGCATATTGCCGCGACATAGGAGGCAGGGTCTGTTGCATGTAAGCACGTTCCAGTTCCCCAATAAGAAGTTGGAAGCTGAGACCGTCAAGGCATATGTGGTGGAAAGCGATCAGCAGGAATTGCTGGTTCTTGGGCGTGATGGCCAAGCTCATCCGGATGTTGTCACCGCTCTCGAGATCGAAGACGTGCTGCCGCAGGCCGAGATACATGTCGCGAACTTCTGCCTCGCTATCAACATGGACAACATTCAGGCGTAAGGGCGACGAAGCGAGAATGGCCTGATAGGGGCCCTCGTTGCCATGAAGATAGCAGGTGCGAAGGATCTCATGCCTCTCTCCAATTTGTTCCACAGTTGCGCGAAGCCGGGCCACATCAATCGAACCACTGAATCCCAACTTGAAGGTGATGTTGCTGTACGTCTTATCGGACCGCAGCTGCTGCAGGACCCAGAATCGGGACTGCGCGTAGGACAGTTTCTCGATGCGCGAGAATTTTAGGGCTGGCGACAGCTGACCTCCCGTTGGGGGCGTCGACGACCCGCCGGCCGAGGGGGCATCTTCTCTCATGGGAGTAAAAATTTCAGGCGAAGCAGAAGATTCTGTCTCCGTTTCTATGGAGATTCCACTGTCTCTTCGCTCGAAATCCGGTTGCTCGGTATTCTGCGAATTTTGCGGGCCCTCTGCCTTTGTGGGTGCTGCCAGCTGACGATTCGAGCCGGTTGATTGGGAGGCTTTCGGTTCGTCCGTCGAGTCGCTACTTGCTTGAAGCAGCTCTTTCGGGAGTTTCGTCAATGCATAGTCAATCAGCTCACCAATACATGCACTATTCAGCAGTTTGATGACGGGGATATCTACCCCAAGTTCCTTGACGAACCAGGTGCGCAAGTCCACAGCAACCAGCGAATCCACGCCCAGCTCCATGAGCGAATGATCGACCGTGACCTCCGCATCATCAGGAAGCTGCAACTTGATGCCGACCTTGGTCAAAAGGGCATCCTCGATGACATGATAGGCCTTCTCCTCGGAGCCTGCGGACGCGAGTTGCTGTTTCAGCGAGACTGTGTCGCCATCCTTGGCTTCCGCCGATGTCGCTCCAGAATACAGCAACTGTCGCCAGGCTCTGGGAGTCTTTAACCATATAATGCCTGGCTGCTCCTCCGGGTTCACGGAGGGAAAGCCGGCCACAGGGGCCGCCTCGCGTCCAGAGTCTGGAGGGCTGGCCAGAATGGCTTCAGCGAACAGCTCGTTCAGCTCCCCTTCGCTAATGGAGGTGTCGCCGATAGCGTTGCGCAACAGCTGCACCAGCTCATTAGACGTGCGCGCCACGTACCCCACGCCACGGATCTCTCCGGGGTTAATGGTGCTGCCAACCAGACCACGCTTGCGCCGGCCGTGGATGAAGCTGGTCATGAAAGTGTTTGCCGCCGCATATGCCGACTGCCCGTTGTTACCAGCGAGTCCGGTCAGCGACCCAAAACAGATGAAGAAATCCAGGTCGGCGCCCGTAAAAACCTCGTCGAGCAATATAGTGCCTGTAACCTTGGGTCGGAGGACTCTCTCCATACTCTCAAGGGGCATGTTAGCAAAGAGCTGATCCTGCAGAATCATTGCGCCGTTCACGATACCCCCAATGGGGGGCAGCGTGTCTTGTATGCGCTGAGCCACTTTTGAGACCGCATCGCGATCAGTCACATCCCTGTTTTACACATTAGCAATCACCTAGTGCCCCGGGAGAGAGGAAAGAAGGCTGTGGGTGTCACATACATTGACATGGTAACAATCTGCGCCCCAATCTTTGCCATGGAGTCGATCCAGGATTGCTTAGTCTGTGGCTGACGGCTTGTCAAGACGACGTTGCGTGCACCTTTGGATACCATCCACTCGCAGATAGAAATACCCAGGTCTCCGGTCATCCCGACCAACAGATACGTCTTCTCAGCTGCCAACGTGACCTCGCTACTCGCTGGCTGCACACTCACAGGTACTCCGGCGGAAGCTTGCCAGTCCAAGATCTGTGTTCGCGACAGATTCACGGGATGCGCTGAGACTGAGTGTACTGGCACGACATCCATCTCTATGGAATTGTCAGTCTTGCCGGTAATTTCCCCAGCGCAGAGGCTCATGGCATGCTCAAGTCGAAGCGCAACTGATTCCATTTTCGACGGTGAGGGAATCACTGCGTCAGTCTTCTGGAAGGATTCAAGACTCTCCTGGTGAACAAAGCCCCTTTGTCCGGCCACGGTGGCAAGCCGGCCGAAGAGCTGGTCCGACTTGTCCTGATCGAACTGCGCCAACAGAGATATGTTCTGCGGCAGAGCCTGCGCGAGAGTTCTGATCGGCGCGAGTGGGTGAATTAGATTTACATCCGGGTTGCTGTGTGCGATCTCCGCACGCGTCGTAGTGAAATAAGCAGCGGCTTGTCGCTGTCTCACCTCAGTTTGAATTACAGATCGCATGCGCTCGTTCGCCTCGTGCACCAGCAGCGAAGTCCAAGGGGGCGTATTCTCTGCCAGATCAATCGCCACGAGCGAGTCGGCCAAGGTCGCCAGGAAACTGCAGATGTCGCTGGTGTTGGTGTACGATTCTGTGCACGGGATAACCCACGATGACGGGGTTGACACTACTGCGGCCAAGTCTTTTGTGAAAGCGACCACCGTTTCTTGGGCCTGTAGGTCTTGTCCGACGACGACATATAGGAACCCGGATCCTGGGACACGCCGTGCCGTTAAGGTCGACGCCTTGACGGCGATGACAGAGTCACCTGGTCGTGGTGTTGCTGGGGGCAGAGCAGACGCAAGAGGCTCATAGGCCCCATCTCGTCGCGTCACCACAACATTTGACCGAGTCAAATCGGCTTCACGGTCAATGCGACGTCTCTGTGACATAATTCGCTGATTCATGGCGTCGTCCGCCAAAATTCGGGGGAACGTCATCACGCCGTCTTTTTGCAGACGGAGCTCAGGCTCGATGGTCCACGTGGCTCGTTGCATGCGATAATCATTATCGAATTCAGGTAGTACAAGTCCCAATAGGCATTCCGCGATGGAGCGGGCGTCCACTGCACGCTCGTTTTCGATACTCAGATGTCGGTAGCGGGCGTGCGAGTTCTCGTACAGCAGACATCGCAGCAGCGCCTGGCTCATACTCTGGTGTGGTTTATCGGCGTCTGAGCCGGCTGTTACCCAGAGCAGGTTCTGCGCAGCGGTAGTCAGATTTTGTAGTGACTGCATGCTCTGCGCTGTGATGTGCTGGAAGAACGGACAATCGAGGTCCGACATGTTGACCACGGTGACTGAATGCTCCGGAGAAACATCCACCGGGGTCTGCAGGGTTTCAACACATGTTATCCCCCGGAAGAATGGCTGCAAGAGGCTGCGTAAGCGGCTGACCAACCTCGAAGTGGCGAGGGTAGCTCCACCAACAAGGACCAGGTCTTGGGACGGAGACACCATCGGAAGACCTGTTGCCAGCGGGTCGCGCACGAGCCGGATTTGATCATCGACAGCTTGCGACAAGAAGACAGAGAACCCGGTCATTCCGTCGTCGTGGCCACCAGTGATGGTGTCGATTCCGGAGAATCCCGTTTCCTGTAGCAGATGATCCCACCGTGTGGGTGTGGTCATCGCGCCGAAGGGGCGGCCGTCCTGTTCACCCAGCCACCAGCCCTCAAAACCGGCCATCGTGAAGGACAGGCGCAAGACGTCGGGGTTGGCACCCTCGAGGAGCACTAGATAGCCGCCTGGCTTCAGCAGAGACCTCACATGGGAGAGTGTCTGTCGCAAGTCACGCGTGGCATGGAGAACGTTGGCTGCGATGACCAGGTCCATTGACTGAGGCTTGAACTCTTCCCCCTGGGCCTGAAGGTCTCGCTCGATATCAAGCACTTGGTAGGTAATCCTGTCGGAGAGGTGCTGCAGGCTAGCTTGTGTCTGTTCGAAGAATCCGGCCGAAATATCTGTGAAAGTATATGAATAGAATGTGTTTTTTAAGCGACTGAGCACGGCCTTCGTCGCGGAGCCGGAGCCACCGCCGACCTCTAGAATCTTCATATGAGGCATTCGCATCGCCAGCTGCTCCACTACGTCAGCTACACCTTGGTTGAAGTGCGCTAGCTCCCCTGTCTCCTTATAGATTGCAGATAACAGCCCACTCTCCCGCAGCTCCTGCAGAATGGTGGTTTCATGGCGCAGGAAGCGCAGCAGGTTCTGGCCCACCACCTTCATGAGGGCTTCCTCCGTAGGATTCGCGAGGCGTGTCGACTCCGCCGTTATCTCTTCAAGAGACAGATCGAGCCACCCCGGCCGACAGACAGGGTGCTTGCCCTGTTGCGTCGAAGCCAGAACATGGTCGATCCAGGCGACCACCCGATGACCATGCCAGTCCAGCTGCGCACGGTCTTCAGGCGTCAGCTGTGCTTGTACTTCACGCAAGTAAACAAAAGCTAATTGCTCGGCCACGGTACAACGGTAGCTTTCATGGCCTGTAAGATACGGCGGGAATTCCGAGAGATCCGGGAGAAGTGGGAACCAATGCTCGCCGAAGAAACGTTGCTGATCATCGGCCGCGGTAGCACGCATCAGTGGTGTCACCACAATATTTTCCATGTGCATCAGGCCGTGGCCTACCGCGTCAAATAGCGCCGCATCTCCTACAGCACCTTCGCGGCCAATGGTAGTCAGAGTAGCCTCAAACGGCAACTCATGGTCCAGCTTGGCGGCAGCCGGTCCGCAGAATGTCGGGTTGACAAGAATCCGACCAATACTGACGGGGATATGAAAGGTGTAGAGCTTCTCATTTCCCGGCTTTCCTACGGCCGCTAACATGCCTTGTAACAGGAGATCCATCAAAGCCGGGTGCATTGCCAGTGGGCTTGCGGGATCCAACTGGCAGGCGTTATACAGACGCCCGTGGCTAATATTCGGCTTCCAGGCGAGAGATGAGATGCCGCGGAAGAGCCCATCGTACCCGTATCCCAGGCTGTTCAAATGATCGTAGAAAGCCTCGACGTCAACAGCTGTTAGCTCTTGATTTTCCGGTTGACGCGCAGGTAGCAAGCGAGCATCATCTTCGCCGCCGAACGACAAGATCATTTTCGCCGATGCGCAAAGCTGCAATTTACCCGCTACAGGGCTGTAGCAGGAAAATGCAGCCGACAGCTGGTCTGCTTGCTCTTCTACTAGCTGGTTCACCTCGAAGAGCGTCTCGATACCGAGATCGTCCTCGCTCAGAGAGATGGCACTATTGATGACGAAGTCGCGTACGTCAAACAGCTTTAGACGCCGTGATCCTGCGATCACGTAGGCCGCTTCTAGTGCCATAGCCACGTACCCAGTGGCAGGAAAGACGGTCTGAGACTGGATACGGTGTCCACTTAACCAGTCAATTTCCGAGGTATGTAAGAAATTGCGCCAGCGGTATGCAGTGTCGGTGGTGTCTGCACAGAAAGATCCTAGCAGTTGGTTGGGACGTCCTGCCTGTCGGAAGGTGGCTCTAGAATAGCGCGATTCTGCCCAGTAGGAATTAGAGTGATCGAAGGGATAGCACGGCAATCCTTTGGCCAGGTGGAAAGTTGGTCGGTCACGGAAATGTCGCATATAGGACTCGACATCCACGGCATCCGGGCCTAGGTGAGTGTATATGTCTCCAATGGCGCGGGCCACACACTCGGTCCCGGAAGTCGATCTATTTAACAAACTTGTGTAGACAGGCGTTGCCGGCGCAGTACGCTGTGTTGATGAGGCCTCAGAAAGCGTGCCTAGCACCGGACTTTTGAGCGCAGGATGCGGCCCAATCTCGACGATCATATCGTATGAATCATCTTGCAGGGCTTCCGCCACAGCATCAGCAAATCGGACGGTCTGGACCATATTGTCACACCAATAGCTGCCACAAAGTGCTGCTAGATGCGTAGCGTCCACAATTCGCCCGTCATTCACGCTCGAGAACCATTTCGTGCCCTTTGGCTCCCGCGGCTGAATCTGGCAAGCCTCAAGTGCGCGCAGATAAGGTGTGGAGCAAGGAATCATATGGTGCGAGTGGTACGCCATGTTGACTTTCAGGCGGCGCGCAAAAATGCCTTCGTCCTTCAACTGCATCTCAAGGGCCACGATTGCGTCTGCATCTCCCGACAACGTGATGCTAGACGACGAGTTGACCGCTGCAGGTTTAATGCGGCCCACATACGCATCACTCTGGCAGACCTGGTCAGCCTCGTCGCGCGACATGCCAACGGCGAGCATGCTACCGGGCTGCCCGTTACATCCGGCCAATGAGGTGACGTGCCCACGCAGGTGGGCAATGCGAATAGCCTCTATTTCTGAAATTATACCTGCAGCATAGGCGGCCGCAATTTCGCCCGAGGAGTGGCCGACTACAGCATTCAGATCTATGCCGAGTGAGCGGAGAAACTTAACGAGGATGATCTGCACGGCCGTGCACAGGGGCTGCGAGATCTCTGCCAGGTGTAGCCGCGAGCTCTCTGCCCCGGCACTTAATTCGTCTAGTATCGAGTACGCGGGCCGGTACTCGTCGGGGAGATCGTCCAAAGCCATTTGCAAGGTAGCCAACCACATCTCCGCGTCGGGGCTCCGTTGCATCAAATCTAGACCCATCTGTGCCCACTGGGCGCCCTGCCCGGTAAACACGCCTAATACCTTGGGACGCTCGGTCCGAGGCTTGGAAATCACCGTAGAAGCCTCATTCGACCCTCGCCGCGCGATTTCTTCGCGCAGCCGGGTTTGCAGGTCCTGCGCGGATGTCGCCCATAAGGCAACTCGGTGAGAGAAGGTGGTCCGTCGGCGGAACAACGTCCATGCCAAATCGGCCAGGTCGGCGGTCGTTTGTTGGCCGTCCAAATAGTCCACGTATGCAGCCAAAACGCTACCCAGAGCCTTATCCGACGGGGCTGTGAAGACGAACGGGATAATCCCGTCCCATTCTGGCGGACTTATGTCTGACAAGGTAGGGCTATACGCCTCCAGAATCGCATGGGCGTTGGTCCCGCCGAATCCGAAGGAGTTGACCGAAACTCTTCGTGGCGTGCCCTCGGGCAGCTGCGGCCAGGGTTGACAGTCAGTCGGGACACGCAGGTGGCGGGTATAGGGCTCAATGGCTGGGTTCAATCGCTCGAAGTGCAGGTTTGGCGCCACAACCCCATGCTGCAGGCTCATTACGCCTTTGATTAAGGCCGCCAGCCCGGCTGTGCCTTCGGTATGACCCACGACGGTCTTAGCTGAACCCACAAACAGCTGATTGTCAGGGTCGCTCTTATCCTCAATAGGGTTGGGAAAGAAAGCCGCATGTATCGCAGACGCTTCTTGGGGATCGCCGGCTGGGGTTCCCGTCCCGTGGGCTTCGAAATACTGGCATCGATCACGGGGGCTGGCTGGGTCTAGGCCAGCTTTCCGGTAGGTTGCCCGAATAAGATCGGTTTGGGCAGCGGAAGAGGGCATCGTGATACCCATACTGCGCCCATCCTGGTTGATATTTGTAGCAGGAATAATGCATTCAATAGCATCGCCGTCCGAGATAGCGTCGCTGAGACGCTTGAGGGCCACAGCTGCGACACCCTCGCCACGCGCGTAGCCATCTGCGCCGGCATCCCACATACGGCTGCGACCGCGCGGCGATAACATACTCAACTTGGACTCGGAAATGTACATGTTCGGGGCCAGTATCAGATTTGTCCCAGAGGCGACTGCGACGCGGCAGTCACCGTCGTGCAATGCCTTGGCCGCCAAATGCAGGGCAACCAGGCTAGATGAGCAGGCGGTATCAATAGTCATAGAGGGGCCGTGCCAGTCAAAAAAGTAGGAGACGCGATTTGAGATGATCGATCGCGCCGTTCCTGTAGCCGTGTAATGCGGTAGCTCTGAGACGTCGCGCTGCTGGATTGTCTGATAGTCGTCACACATAACACCGCAGAAGATACCTGTAGGCGATCCCCTGAGATCTTCCAGCCGCAGACCGGCTGCCTCGACGGTCTCGTAGACCGTCTCCAGCAGAACACGTTGTTGGGGATCTATGGACTCGGCTTCTCGCGCCGAGATATTGAAGAAAGAGGCGTCGAACGCAGCCACATTTTCGCGAAGAAAATAGGACTCGCTGGCGTTGGTCGTCCCGTGGTTCGCGCTCCGAGTATTGTAGAAAGCATCACCGTCGAATCGGTCTTTTGGAACTGGAGAGCCAACATGTTTTGGTTTGCTGAGGAGATCCCAAAACTTGGCCGGCGTCGAGGAGCTGCCAGGGAATCGACATCCGATGCCGATCAGGGCAATCGGCTCCACGGACGTCATGATAGATAGGCAGCTTCCCTAGTCGGTCGTTAACAAGAGCATGTTCCTGATCTTGAGGATTAGCTTCAACACGGCGCATTATAAGATCAAGTTACCGGGCCGAAGCGTAGCATGCGAGTTACAATCAAGTTTTTCGGTCATAGGTCATAGAAATTTCGACATGGCCATCTCCAACTTAAATGCGACTGCAACGTCCCCTGCCGACCCACAATCACCATAGTCCATTTCTCAAGATCTGAAAGCAGGTTTCTTTTTCATCGTGAGATCATGCATTCTCTATTTTAAATCTTGCCAGTGTGACACTATTGGTCACCGACCAGCGTACCCCGGGGTCCTTGTTTTTGGTGCCTCTTCCAAGTCTGCGATTCTATAACGAGTCCGCAGCCCCTACCCGATCTACAATCAACGCTTCTGCTCTTCATCCTGCGAAAATGACCATCTTGAAGGTATTTGGTATCCTTGTGGTGGTCTTTCTGGGATACCACGGCCTTCTGTCTTTGCTCCAACACCGACGTCTATCCTATCTTTCAAAAAAGCATGGGTGCGCCCCGCCAGTCACCCAGGCAATGCGCTGGCCTTGGGGAGCTGAACGGATTGTTCGGATACTGCGATTTCGCGGGGATATCTTGGACGGTCTGATCTCGCCCAGCTTTTACCGCACCGGGGCGTGGACCATCCGGGCCACAATGCCTCTGGCTCTCCAGCCACTGATGCTCGTGGCCGAGCCCGCGAATGTCAAGGCGGTGCTGTCTACCAGTTTCGCCGACTGGGGTGTAGGCCCTCGTCGGTTGAAGCAGTTCGGACCTTTTCTAGGGCTGGGAATATTCACGGCCGACGGCCATTCGTGGTCGTCCGCGCGCGGGATTCTACGACCCGTCTTTTCGCGCCACCAGGTGTCCGATCTTGAGTTCACCAGCCGCCATGTCGACCGGTTGCTGGACTGCCTCAGCGCCAGCGAAGACGCGACGCCAGCTGGCACTTGGACGGACTGGGTAGACGCGATGCCTCTCATCTACCGATTCACCATGGATGCGGCTACCGAGTTCCTCTTTGGCGAGAGCGTTGATAGCCAGCTTCGACCCGGTACCGTATCGGACCGTCGCAATGTCTTCGAACAGGCGTTTGAGACGTCGTCCATGGGCGTTGGCGGCCGCATGCGCCTCGGCGCCTTCTACTGGGTCCTAAATCACGCGGTATTCCGTCGTGCCTGTCAACTCTGTCGCACCTATGTGAGCGGCTTCGTGGACCGTACTCTTGGCCTGCCCCATGATAAGGAGAAGAAGTATCAGCGCGGGCTCTTCCTGCGCCAGCTATCCGAGTTGACGCAGGACCGCGAGCTCATTCGCGACCAGCTGCTTCAGCTGCTTTTCGCTGGCCGCGACACCACGGCCACGCTAATTTCATTCGCCCTGCTATGTCTGGCTCGCGATCCCACTGCCTGGTCCAAGCTGCGCGCCGAAGTCCTCGCCCACTCCGCCAACAGCCTCTCTTTTGAGTCTCTCAAGTCTTGTTCCTACCTGCAGGCCGTTCTCTCGGAAACGCTGCGCCTCTATCCGCCCATCCCCATCAACACGCGCCAGGCCTTGCGCGACACCGTTCTGCCCGTCGGTGGCGGCCCGGATGGGGACCAGCCCGTGGCCATTCCCAAGGGCACAACTCTCACGTATAGTGTCTACGTGATGCACCGACGCACCGATATCTGGGGCGAAAATGCAGCCGAGTGGTGCCCAGACAGATGGCAGGGACTGAAGGGCGGGTTTCACTACCTGCCTTTCAACGCAGGTCCACGACATTGTCCTGGTCGTAAGTTTTCCATTCTGAGAGTCTTTTCCTGTACCATGCTGACTAGCCTCGCAGAGCAATTTGCCCTCACCGAAGCAAGTTATACTCTAGCGCGCCTGGCGCAGTCCTTTGACATGATCGAGTGTCCCGATCCGACGCAACCGATTCAGAAGACACTAGGTATCACGGTGCATCCGACTAGAGGGGTCGAAGTGAGATTCCGCAAAGCAGCACAGTCAGTAGGGTAGTAGGACTTTTTTTTTATCGATTTCTTAGAATTTCTCCTAAAAATCAATGTGATGCTGGGGGGCCGAGACTTGGATTGATTCTCCAGTGGACCACCGGTCAATGATCTCTAGATTGCTAGCTATTCCAATTATTCCCTGTTTGCGCTGACAACATCGTGTCAATTCTGGTAAAGTAACCGTCGGTCGCACCAACATTGCGAGGACGCAGCGTGCAGCGCGAGGGATGAGGAAGAAGCAAAAAAGAGGGAAGTCGCAACGATCGATGAGATTTGTGGGTCACAGGACCGGCTAGTCCTAAAGAGGCAAGTGCAGCTTCCTAGTCGCAAAGTGAATCTGAAATCTTGATTCTTGATTCTTGCTTCATGAGTTTATCATCAGTCATGGAATGCCAACCCAACCAGGAACTGATACTGGCATCGTCTCGGATTTCGCCGACTGCCGACCGATCAGTTGCTTCCGGTTGCAACTTGCATCCTACTGAGCGGCCCGTGAGTGGGCAAGAAACAGGAACAAGACCCATGGAATGCAACCTACCCCTTTCGCGAATCATAGTTCAAAGTGTCATTCAGGAAATCTTTTCCGTGTGACTGATCTATGGTTGAGATATCATCATAACGATATTACTCAGTACACTGCATTCCGCATCCGTCTCGGTTGCCTGATTCCTGCTTCTATAATGACAGTTACTTTTCACTATCTCCACTCTGCTAGGACTAACTGCACTATCCATACACACCTAGCTAGATCTTCGCCCACAACGCACCCTTGGTTAACCAGTGCCGAGCCAATAATGTTATCAGGGTCCCAACTCCCGTCATCAGCCCACAGAACAGCTGAAGATACAGCGCGCCCTTGTGCCCGACGTCGAGCAGCGCTCCGCCAATGGGACTCGACGTGAGTCCCGCGAACGACTGCACCAGGTATAGTACCGCTAGGTTGCGCGTGATACTTCGTAGGTCTGACATCTGGAACAACATGGCTGGCCCCAAGGACACTGTGCTTGCCGAGGTGAAGCCGAACGTGACGGAAAAAACGACTGCTCCGCCGAACCCGCTGTCGGGGAGCCAGAGCCCGAGAACAAGCACCGTGGATAGCATGCCCAGCACGCACATGGTGTTGAAGCTGCCGACGCGACCGGCTATCATTCCGGGAATGATGCGACCGAAGAAACTGTTGTCGATTAGTATACAACGGTTATTTGGCAAGTCGAGAGGGACGATAACTGGGGGTGGCCTTACCTAGCTCCATTGAGCACCACTAGCGAGTCCACGTCGTTTTTCCACCCGCGCAGATGCGCCACGGTGGTTAGGAATGTGAGCACGACGAAATAACCGTTCGCGAAGAGCGTGGTCCCGGCGATGGTTAGCCAGAGTCGCCGGTCCCAGAGTCCTGCCCGGCAGCTCCCGTCCTGAGGCATGGCCATGCGCATGCGCCGGCGCGCTCTCAGGGCCTCAGGTGGCGAACGTAATGTCAGATTGCTGATGGTGGTGAGAACCAACAGGACCAGGACCGCGCAGCGCATGGTCCAGCTGAATCCAATGATCGGAATCAAGTGCTGGATCATTAGCGGGAAGACGATGCCGCCGGCACTGACACCGCTAGCAGCGATGCCAATTGCAAGAGCTTGCTGCCGCTCGAACCACCGGCCCATAGTTTGTACGCTGATGAAAAACAACGCGCTCGCGCCCAGCGAGCTGATCACGCCTTGCGTCAGGAAGAACTGGTAGAACTTCGTGCACCAGGAGGCCCCCAGCAGGCCGGCGATGTGCATCGCCGACCCGATCAGTAGAAGAGGCTGCGGTCCAATACGCTGAGTTATTGGTCCGACAATGCAGGCCTATAAGAAGTGAAGCCGACGTCAGCAAGCCTTCTTTGCGACACATCCCGAGGATTCCATAACACCTACACCGAAATACATGAGGAAGAACCCCACGCTATTGATCCAGGCAATGGTGGAAGGGCTGTAGTCTCGCAGTTGATCCTGCTGATAATACCCCTGGAAGAAACCCGAGCCTATCGTGAAATCGCATCAGACCTTCGAAGTAGCGCAAACACATCGATATAATCAAGAAAACCTACCCGCGCGCCATCCAAAAGACGCGAACATGCCGCAGAATCCCCCAATCACCACCATGTAATGCCCGACCGTCCCTTCAGTGATCTCTTCATTGACTTCGTCTTCCACGATGGTTGTCTGGCCCGGTTCTGGGGTCTTCTGACGATTTAATGGTCCCTCTGGGATAGGCTCAGCGGGAGTCGACGGCGCCGGTATCGTCTCAACATCAGACGAAACAGCCGTCGAAGTGCCGGGGTTCGACATGTCTGCCTTTGTGGAGGAGTTGACATTCAATTCATCCTTCTCCATGGCCGCAGCAGCGGTCTGACCCAGCCCAGTAGGTCGATTGAAAACTAGGAGTGCTCCACAAGCAAGCCCATCTCTAAACTGGATCCCCAGGAATACAGTAGGATAGCAAAAGTCATCGCTTATCTGCAGGATTTGGGGAATATGGATCCTCGTCACATTGTTGCATATCCATGATCAATCATCGATCTCCAGTCCTTGTACTTTTTTTCTGTAACGTTGGAGCGAAGAAGTCTGCATGCGGCAGAGCAGCGCTCTACGGGAGTTCGGCCCGGAGTTGCTTGGCCGGTCGATGACGTCGGCCACCGAGGGCACGTCGCATCGGTATCAATCTTGTAGGCATATCTAAAATCCAACTCATTGTCGTAAAACTACGTGTTCTGAAAAATTATATATCGAATGGGGAAATATATTCATTTCGATTAACCAGATCAAAAGTTTTCCAGGAATTATCTACCTTACTTAATTCTCTCAAATATCTCCTTTCATTATCTTAATCTTGCCGGAAAACTGAGACCTATAGAGAAAGTCTACGGGGACGGCAAATCTGTCTTCAATATAATAATTATTCACGATTGGAATCTCAGGACAGCTAACATAACATTGAACAGCATCGCTCGCTTCGTGCATAAACATACATACAAATCGTGTCTTTCACATGGGTGTTATGTTATAAGGACGTAAAGGAAGGGAATGGAAAGGATTCATCATGGAACGCACAGAACTAAGCAGGGTATGGGGTATGCGTATGCAAAAGTATCGGAGGGGACAAAAAGAGAGATGAGAAACAGAGAAAGAACGAAGGAAGGAATAATCAAATATAAAGAAAGTCAGATAATTGGCATTGCCATCGGTATTTCGGACAAGAATCGGTGAGACAGTAGGTATAAAGAGGATTTGTGTATGTGCACGACGGTGGAAATGAAGATTTCGAAAGAGTGTAGAAGATAATAAGACGGTGCAGAGAGTATTAACGTAAGGGGCTCGAGGTTTAGTAGGGGATAAGGATATGAAAAATGATAATGTGGCTAGTATCTGAGCTTGCCGACAAGTCCAAAGGTATACGCCGCTTCGGCTTCGCTCTTCATTTGAATCATGTAAATGCGAGAGAAGCCGCCAGTGACGCCACCCTTCTTTGGCATAGCGCCGCCTTCGGTCTCTTCCCAGACGGACACGGCAATACCAGTTCGGGCAACGCGTTCGAACGAACTCTCTGGCAGACAGACGTCGAGGAGGATTTCATCTCGGGTCTTTCCACGAACAAGGATACGCTTTTCGATTTCCACGCCGCGACGAGGTGTGGCGGATCCGGAGCCTGGTGGACTACTATCTCCGGCTTCAGTTGCATCGAGAGCATCGCTCTGCCCTCCCATGACCGTCTCGGGACGCGTAGGCTCTTCAGGGGTAGAGGGCATGATCGTGAGTCTTGCGGCTCCCATATCTCGCCATTTGGATTGGGTCTCGCGCACGTAAAGACGGATTTTGGCATTCGAGAGGCCGATGCCGTCGACGCCCTTGATCGCAGCTGCAATCCGCCCAAGACCGGAACTAGGCGAATGATTCGATGCCGCCGAGCTTGAGTACAAACTGTCTTCGTTCTTGCGACTACGAGAGGTGACAGAGGATCGCGAAATGCTAAACATCTTGCTTCCTGCTCCAAACCGCTTGAGAGCTGAAAAAGCACTGCTCATAGTCCCGACACTGCTCTCGGAATTGTCGGTGAGGGATCGAGGAGAGGCGGAGGCACGGTAGCTTCGTCTACGGCGCGGCCATCCGAAGAACCCGCCGGATTTGTTAGGTTGCTCCATGGCGGCGGGCTCGTCTGCAAGGGGTCCCCTGGCGTTTTGCAGAGCGATATATGTAGGGTTGTTGATGCGGGCATGGTTGATGAGACCGTAAAGAGCTTCGCACTCATCCGCGTTCCTGGATCGGAACATGATGTTGTTGCTCCAAGCCACCTTTGACCGTTCGGTTGGGGGCGAGCGGATACTGATGTCGATGGCCGTTCCACGTCGGATGGGCACAAGAGGTGTTAACTCAAGAGCAATCACTGGCCGTACCTTCTTAGAGGGCACTTCCTCCCCGTCAGGGACATCCTTCACCTCGTAGGCTTCTATCAGACCGGGACTGACGACGATCCTACAATCATCGGGGACCACATTGTCCCAGGACCCTTTGTCTGACCAGGCAAAAACAGAGGCCACCGCAAATGTAGATTTTTCAGGCTGCGATGGAACCGTTCTATAGCCCCCTTGCGAGACAGAGTTAGATGGAGAAAGTGAGCTGGTTGCAGACGTTATGAGTGACTCCTGCACCGCCGCTCTCGCAAGATCACGGGCCTTCCCGGGAGGCATCGAGGAGATCTCGTCCTCGGATTCATCATCTGAGCTATCGGAGGCGGAATAATCGGACTCTGAGTAGAGGTCGTAGCGTCGAACGGTAGAAGTGTCGGAATCCGAATAAGTGTCCGAGGCTGTGGAAGGCTCGTATTCATGTTTCAATGGAGAAGAGCCACGACGTCTAGGACGGGCGCCACCGGGGCTTAGAATAGGGGTATTCGGAAGACTCGATCCTGTAGAACTTGGGGATCGAGAGTGTGGCGGCGGTGCAGGGGCTTCTCCAGAGCCCAGATCGCTAGAATCGGAGTTTGAACGGGAGTGACTTTTGCGCTTGCTTCTTGTCGGACTCTCGACTGGGACGTATTCTTCCTCATCCGACCAGTCCTCAATAGAGTCTGAGATATAAGACTGATTACTGCCCTGCCTCAATTTAGGAATCGACGGCAAATCCATGGAAGGTACAGATGACACTCGTGAAGAGCTATCAGGGGCGTCTCGCGTTGGCGTTTGCGGCGCATATTGCTCCTTATGAATTTTCTCCGGCTGGCCGGTAGCTTCAGGGTGCCGGTGAGGGGTTGAAGGTCCTGATCGGTTATTTTCTGGGATGGTTTCCTTGGCCAGTCCTGGGCTTGGGGGGGCTTCGTCGTCCTTGTGCGCGACTCTTCTGGCCTTGGACCGTTTGAGGCCTGTGGGTGACCGATCGTCGCCAGTTCCAATCTTTCGGGGGTCCCTCGCGTGAAGAATAGAAGGTTGAGATGGCTTCGCCGAAGATGTTTCCGACAAAGCGTAGTCCGATTCGCGGGTGATTGCGGTGTTGATAGACATCCGAGACTCGGTAGCTAATGACGACCCGACGGTGCTGGGGTCCGACAACTGCTCCCTAGGGGAGGAACGTCGTAGCGAACGACTGTGGGCCTTCTCACCGATAGGAACATCCATACCAGTAGGACTCGTGGGGGGTTTCTGGGCTAATGCATCATCATTAGCTGAAACTGTTTGTGCTCGTTGCCGTTGTTTAGCTCGCTCAATGAAGCTCTGGCTTCGAGAAATGGTAGGTGGAACAGGATTTAAGCCAAGCATTTGGACCCATTCGAAACCGATATCCTCCTCGTCGATGCGGAGTAATAGCAGTTCTTGCCATGGCTTGGAACTTTCCGGGCCACTGCGCAGCATAACCACAATCTCCCCCTTAGTCTCGCCGTTGCGCGCAGAAACAAATGTAAGGTCCATGGGCGGGAAAAGAAGCCATCGGTCCGCATGGTCGATCTCACAGATGAGTAGGTCTCCTCCATTTCCGCGATCGGAGTCGCAATCTCTGAGTAAGAACTCGGCACGGCAATCGATGACCTGTCCACTTGAGTGGTATAAAGACAGATTAAAAAAGTCACGGGCCCGCACCCGTCGACCCTTTTCTATTTGAACGTCGGCAAGTGGTCCCAGAGTCGCCGGGTCACGAGCTCGGGATGCGTCAATACAGGCTGCGGATTCGTCTTCCAGGCGCGCTCGCTCTTCGCGTGCTCGACGGCGCGCATCGGTGACCAGACTTTGATACGCGTTCGCCACTTCGTCTGCCTTTTCCGAGGGTTGCAGCATATTGATGCCCTTGAAGGTCTTAGCGAGGTACTTGAGACGTACGAGCGGCCGCTTGAGCAGGTATGCCACATCGACCTTCTCCCCGTCACTGTCAACCACATCCCCGTTTTCATCGCGAGCCATTCCTTCGTCCAAGCTCTTGGTATCCGCGTTTTCTGCGGCTTCTCCTTCCTCCAGGGGAGCCAGATTGACAATGACATCCTTGAAGCCAAGTCTCCACGCCTTCAGGTATTGGCGGTACACCCTTTGAGCCCCGTGCGCCCAGGTGAGCAGGGAATCTGCATTGTCCTCGGGTATTCTTTTATGTAGCGTCTTTAGCCGCTCAACAGCTACGCCCATGTCGACTATTGGCTTAGTGAAGTTGGCCTCGTCTTTGGGGTCCATCGACGGATGGAACAGGCCAGCGGCGATTGCTGAGTCGGACCTGGAAAGAACACAGGTCAAGAGCACTGGTATCACACCTCCGACCAGGGTCTTAAGCTCACGCATATACTTCGCCTCGTCTGCCGACATCTCCTTCAGGAGATCAGGAATAGTTGCGTTCATTATTCGGCTCTTGTTCGATCGGATACTTCGAGCGGACCGAATGCTCCGAGTTCTACCATTTGACGAGGAAAGAACAGAAATTAGATCGTCATGAGTCGTTAGGCGCCTCTTCAGCTGAGTCGAGACAACAGGAAGAGAGTTAGGGTCAAACTGATCCCGTTCCTCTGCCTCCCCTTCCTCGGCCGGGGTTGACGTTTGTGCCTCGGAGGCGGTATCGAGACCGGGTGCCTGGGGTCGCTTATCGGCGCTTGTATTCAAGGAATCAAGCGATTCGATGGTTGACAAGCGACGAAGACCCGTACTTGGTATTGGCCTTTTACGATGAATCGGGACCAGGGGGTTATTTCTCGAAACTTCAGATCCGTCTGACATAAGAGTTTGCGCATCCGATGGTTCTTCCTTTTCGGCAGGAGCTTTGTCGCGAGGGGTCTTGTCCTTAGCGTCAGATGATGACCGGCTATGCTTGTGTTCGGTGGACTTCTTCCTGCTGGAACATGACGCATCTCTTTGTGGCTCTTTCGAATCTCTAGAGCCCGTGATCTCGTCAGTCATTCGCTTGGCCCGCTCGCTGCCGGCAGTCGAATCATCCCTGCTCTTGACTCGTCGTTTACTCGTGCTTTTTCGGCGCGTGTCACTCTCCGCGTCGGTATGAGTTGCACGGTCCCGGCTCTGCTCCCTCTTCGGAGATTGCTTGGCTCTGTTAGTCTTGGTGTTCAGAGGCGCAGGCACTTCCACGTCCGGATCCATGTCCATAAACGGGTCTGACGTTCCCGACAACCATGCCTCGATTTTGGAGCCACGTCCATTATTCGGCACTGGTTTGGGGGAGTCCGGTTTTGCGAACATTTTTCTCGATTCGTCCAGCATGTGCCCGAAAATGCCTCCCTTGGGCGGTTTTAGGGGTCCCCGATTCTTCGGCGTCTGATTCGGGCCAGGACCCTTCGCCCTTCGCCTGGACAACTCTGAAAAATCCGCATCACTGTCAGCCCAGTCGGCGTCCTCGCCGACAGCATTCTCCTTTTTCGGCGTGTATTCGGAAAGATCTGACTTGGACGCCAGCTTTCCTTTGTCTGCACTTCCCGGTCGCGAAATGCCCTTCGAAGAACCATTGTGCGAGCCACCCTCCTCGATCTTGCTTGTGATGATGGAATCAACGTCCCGCGAAGCTCTTGATTTCCGCCGTTCCCTACTCGTCAATTCCGACGCACCAGTTTTCTCCTTCTCCGCGCCACGGGACGGAAGCGACACTCGTCCTTTATCGTTACTTTTCGGGGATGACTGTGGCTGGTCATTTGTCGTGTACTCAGCGATGCGCCTGGGCGGCGGCAGCTTGGGGGGAGGGGTCTGTGCGGAACTGCGATTGAGCTTCCAGTGCTCGTCGCTTATAACTCGTTTCCGCGGAGTGCTTTGACTTCTCATCCGAGTGTTCGATCCTGCAACCGACGACTTTTCTGCAACCGAGGACTTTTCCTTGACAGTCGGGCAATTGGATTCCACGGCCGAGTTCTCATCATCCTCATCGTAGTAGAGCTCTTCGGCGGTGATGACGCCTCCTCCCTGTTGCTGCCATTTCCGGACCTTAGACCGTACGGAGTTTGTGTCGTAGATCCCCAGCGGCTGTCCGATATCCAGCGGTTTCTGCTTGGCCGGGGTTGATTTGGGAGTACCCCCACGACTGGAGGGGCGATGCGGAGTTGAGGGGGGCGGCATCGATGTCTGTGGCGGGCAAGTAGTATTAGCATGATTCGGGGGGAGCGAAAAATAAAAATAAAAATATTCGAGGCAACAACGGTGGGCAGTGGAGAGAGCAAAATTCGTCTTGGAAGCAGCGAGAGGGTTGTGCGATCGCTGGTTGTTGTGGTCGAATCCAAGAGCTCCCATCCACGCATAGTACGTCACCCTTGTTTGTTTATGGCGAGACAAGCGGAAGGAAAGTATACCACTCACAGACAACAATCACTGACTTCGAAGGGATGATTCCGGTCGCTTCTGGAGGAGGGAGTGGCACAGAACCCCGGCAATCAATGAAGAAAAAAAAACCTGGTCGCTGCGACCGAACAGGCGGTCAAAATGCGGGCTGCAGGTCAAAGGAAAGTAGAAGAAGAGAAGGAAAGACAGAAAAGAATCAAAGAATGACGGACGGACGGGATCGAGTCGGGTCAGCTGGTAGAGAAGCTCTCCCTCGGGGTCATAATCCTCAATCACACGCTCCCAAAGCAAAAAGAAAAAAAAAAGACAATCCCTTTGGAGTCTTCTGACAACAGCCAGGAAGCACGAGAATAACAATAATAATAAGAAATAATCATGATCGAGGGAACAGCCCGCTATACTTACTGGGTCGGTCTAGTCCAGATGGAGTCTCAGTTGGACTGCTGCCCGGGAAACCAAACGCCGCGATCAACACCGCCCCGTCATTCCTCGTGCCCAAAGCATGAATTGGATCGACGAGGTTCTTCAGTTCGTATTATCGACGGGTGATTATTGAGTGTCGTTCGTAGGTCCAGGGAGGGAGATCCAGGTCCTTTTTTTAGCTCCTCCTCTTTCTCTTCTCGCTTTTGATTTCTCATCCCCTCCGTCTGACTTCACTCCCTCTCCTCCCGTCTCCCTGCCCGGATTCTTATAATCCACACCCACATCCACCCGCCTTTCGTCTGCAGTGACGCCACCATCAGACAGCCACGGTGGATGTGCCCGAGCGCGCTGGTCTCCAACAAACCGTTTCGGTTCCAATAACCCCGGACAATTAATCTATTTTGGATTATTTTACAATTCTCACGGCCCTTGCCAGTTCCCATTGCCATTGTGGCCGAATCAACCGCCGTCTGGACCAGCGATCCACCATCTACGCGTCACACAATGTGGGCCGGTCGATGCAGCCCATTCTAACTGGCGTGTTGGCTATGTCATCCTGAGCGTGTTCTTAAAGCATATCTTCCTGCATGGATCTCGTGCATTTACTCTGATGTTGGAAAAGGAATCTGCGCGTTCAGAATTGGACTCGCTGCGATGGTCTACTGGTCGTGGAATCCGAGCCGCTCCTCACCGAGATTTACGCTGCGCAGCCGTTCCCTCGAGGCTCTGAAACGCCTTGGAGCTTGCTCTCATGCTCTGCACAAAATAATCTAGCCACGCTGTAAGTATACCCGCCAGATGGGATGCAGGTCAAATTCCAGCACTTACAGAGCGGGACCACGATCCAGACAAAATTCATCACGAAGTAATAGATCCAGAAGTAATAGGGTTCCGGTCGACTGTATGGACGGTCATGAGCGTAGTGGTCATAGAGACTTGTGGCATAGTAGAGTGAGTCGCCGTAAAGATGGGCCATGCAGGCCGTGAGTTGCAACGGATGGCGCAAAGAGCTCTGCGCAAAGATCGAATATGCCACGAGAAGGCACAACGGACCCCAGAGCAGCTGTCAAATTATCTCAGTCAGCTATATCGCCGGCATTGCGAGGTTGGCTCGGACTGATGTGCATACAACCGTCATGGTCTCCATACAGAGTACCAGGGTATCCGCCGTCATGTATCGCGAGTCCGACAAGGCATATTCCTTCCACATTTGCCCAAAGAAGTCTTGGGCCGACGCCATACGGTCATAATGGATCATGAAATAGCCCTCGAAGAAGCAATGGAGCGACCCCGCTGAAGGACTCCGACGAGACGATGTTAGTTCTTCCAAATTCAAGATTTCGACCACACCTGCTGCGGGGGTTTCCTACAGAGAACAAACCACATGATAGCGATTCTATCAGCGCGGGTCAAGCTCGGTCGCCAAAGGCTAACGAGGCCCAAAGTGGCGCCCAGCAAGGCTGCGGCGCCGACGCTGGCGGTGGTAAGCAGAGAAAGGAGGGACGCCTTATTGGCCACATATCCGTGGATTGGAGCATCCAGGGGATAGTATGGGTGAAGAGCTGGTTCGGCAGACATGGTGGCCATGATTCGTCGAAGCACTAGAGCTGTTGGAAGTGCCAAAGAGAGGATGGCGCGCGAAGAGACAGAGACGCTTCGGCCGGCGCGAATCAAGTAGCACTAACTAGCGAGTAAACAACGCATCTGCCAAGACCGGCCAGCCCTGATCTTCCTGGGATGCCCGCAGATGATTGTCCGATCGCGAAGTACCGTTGATGGAGCAGCTGGTTCCCGGTGCTGATCCAACACCACGATTTGAAACATCGGTAACATCTGGGTACTCCAGAGTCGGGGGTATTGCTGTTTCTGTAGTCGGACTGTAATTTCTTTCACACCGAGTGTACTCAGTAGAGTGGAGAGTGTAGAATGCAGAGTGTAGACTAACTAGTTAAGTTAACTAACTGCTGACTGCTGACTGATGACGACCCAAAAAGGTTAAATGAGCTCTCTCTGACCCGCTAACCCGATGCGGCTAGTCTTCAACCTCAGGCAACAGCCCTGCCTGAGGACCTCAACGCCCGCGGCGAGTCTCCGTCGGGAATCGCAGGTGCTCGCCCCCTCTCTCCATGCAGCCACGCCCGTGATTCCACTCTCCTCCTTATCGCTTCATGGAGTCTGCGGGAGTCCTTCATTCCGCGCCCTCCCATAATGGAACCTGGTTCTCTTCCACGGAAGTCCTTGGGGCTTGATGTACCCCGCACGTCTGCATTCGAATCGCCTCCGCCGATAGCGGCTCTGTTCGTGATCCGCTTCGATATCAAGGCCGGGTAAGTCTTCCTAGATCACGGATTGGGCTTCGCAATATCTAATTTGGATCCCTTCTGCAGATATGTGATATCCTGGAAACGAACCGTCCCTGGAGGTGGGTTGTGGCATCTTTCTTGTCCAGGTGTCATTATCCATGCTAACTGATAATCGATGTTCAGTCGAAGTTGAAGGCATTGTCGAATACAAGTCGCTTCCGTCCGGTCTACATAACGTCTCGGAGGATCTAATGTATGGTTGGAATGCTGCGCTTGGTTGTGGTAGTCAACTGATGGTCCTCGACTAGATATTTCGTCCACGAGCAATACTCGGGCATCAGCGCCTTCGTGAATCAGCCCGCGGAAGAGGCCGAACGAAATGCGAAGATGTTCGCGATTGGAGTTCTGGTCCCGCTCAGCTCAGGGAGGCTGGGAAAGAGCTGGAGACACGCTCCGAAGCTCAAGGAGCTTGCGCAGTGAGTCAATATTCCGTTTTCTTTCAAACAGCAAACGCTAATGGCTGGGCCCCTTTTTGTAGAAGCTATGCGCAGAATATGTCGGAGACACAGCCCCTGTCGGACTATTGGGGGGCTTACGAGATCCGCGAGAGCGACTCGTCAGGTCTGCCTCCCGACTCCCCCATTGAATCGCCTCTCAGCCTGCGACTACGAGCTCACGGGGAGCGACCGGATAATCAGCGTCGTAGTCGCGCATTCAGCGATGCGATCGTGTTGGAAACGCCTAGGCCGGCCCTGACGCCTTTCCATCCGGCTTCGTCGCTTCCTGACTTCCTTGACTGTTTCGGGCCTCTTCTGTTCCCATTGTATAGAGCAGCCCTGTTGCGCAAGAGGGTGCTTCTCATGGCTGAAGTTCCGGTGCACGTTCCTTGCAACTACGGTATGGTTCTTCTTGATATACTTAGAGCGATGTCCTTACTAACCATGCAACAGTATATGATTTGTCTTTATTGGCCTCGTTGCCTAACTCACTCCTTCCTCTACTCCCATCAGACAGAATTCCAGCTCTGCGACCTCGTGCCCTCTTCAATGTTGGCATTCATGACATCCCTTACCTCTCGTCCTTCGCCGGGAAATCCCCTGGTTCCAGAGGGGAAGCTGCTTGGATCGCGTGCAGCACAGACACCGTTCTCACCATGAAACCTGAACTATACGATGTTCTCGTGACCCTACCGCCACCTCACTCGAAGAACGCCGCAGAGAAAGTCTATCCGAAAATTTCTGTCATGCCTACCGCAACGGCACAGCACAGGTCTGCTCAAGCGGCGGAGCTGAAAGCAACGCAGCGAGACGCACGACGCTTCACGACCCTCCGCAGGGGTCTCCAACATGTCTCGCGGGACGAAGACACGCAAATCGAAGAAGAAGACGATTCCGACGCGGCATCCACCTATTCATCCAGCCCTATAGTCGAACCGCTTTCCTGGCCCCGGCTGGCATACACCTCCTTCATCTGGTGGGCGTCTGCGGGCGAGAAGCGCGACGGCCTTTCCGAAGAAGAGGAAGAAGAGCATCAAATCGAACAAGACACCCGGCTCCTCGCCAGCGTCGACAGCCTCCCCAGCCCCCCATCCGGCTCCATGGGCCGTCGCTCCCTGCCCGCCGCCGAATCAACCCAACAGCCACCTGAGATCGCCTTGGTCGCCTACTTCCGCCGCCTCACTAACCAAATCTTCATCACTCTCTCCGACGTGATCGCCCGCCACGACAGCCAAGACGCCGCCGACAATGGAGAACCCAACGACGACGATGAGATCCCCTACGAAGACGACCCGGAGAACGACCTCGAGCCCTCGGCGACCATCGGCCGGCGGTCCACGCAAGAAGACGACACCCGACCGCTCCTGCGCGGCGACTCGGGCGCCGAAGAAGACGCGTCCCGGGACAACGACAAGCCCGTTAGAATCACCACTGAGGACATGACCGAGATGGGTCTTGACGTGTGGAGCGCCGCCGACCGTATCTTCGTCCAGGAGCTGGTCCATACGTGGTGGGGTCGCAAGTCCTACGTCGATAGCGCTCGCATCCGATGCTGTGGGATTTCGATTCTGTAAATACGTCCCTCCACTTCTTCGTCATTTATGTCTGTGTACAGCATATCTTTTCGTCTCTCAGCATGTTTGTGTTTTCTATCTATTTCGTCATTTTCGGAGTCTCGTTTCCATAGAGGGTAGCTAGTTAGTTGCATTTGCGAGGTCTTTTTTTTTTTTTTTTTTTGTGTTTAAGTAAAATCGGAGTTATGTTGTTTCATGTGTCAAAATCAAAACTTGTGTATCAATTTATTTGATCAAAAACGAAAGATACTATATTTGCATCGGGCAGTAGAAGTAATAGTAGGCTAGATTGTCTAAAATTCATAACAAATTATCCTAAGAATTAATCACTTTTATTTACACCAAAAAGAAAAGGTATGTGTTGAAAAAGAAATGAAAATGGAGAATGACATAGGAAAAGGTAAAGAGTGTTTAAAGAATATAGAAGTGTGTGATGGGTTCGTTATTGCAAAAGGCATATCCAAAAGAGCACAAGGGTCGTTTCAAAAAATAATAAGAGTAGTAATAAACAGATAGACAGGGGTAAAGAAGATAAAACAGCAAAAGATAGTTAGATCCGAAGTTAGAAATAGGAAAAAGCAAACCAGATAAAACATCCATATGAATAACGCCATTCCGCTGGGAGAGAAGAACAGGGTATCAGAAATCGTAAATCCCAAGAACCAAACCAACCGTTTCCATCAAAGAACACCGCGAGGTTAGAATCAAGACATTCACCGACGATGATGCGTCATCCGGATCGGTGCACTCATGTCTCTTCGGTTCCGCATGTCGCCGCTTTCGCTCCTTCGTTGCGGGTTTTGTACGCCAGGGATGCGACGAGCCGAGTCCGTTGGATGTGAACTAGCATTTGCCGTGCGACGGGTGGTTTCCATCGCGCTGGCAGATCGTTTCGTCGTGTTAGCGCGACCCCTGCGTGCCCTGATCTGCGCAAGTGCTTCTTCCCGGCTGACGGGAGTCCCCTTAACGGCGGAGCTCTGGTCTGGTACTGAGCCCTCTTTTCTGAGGGGAACCCTTTTCACGTTTTGGTCGTTCTTCAGGTTTCTATGGCTCGCTGCCGTCCTCAAAGGCGGGTTAACCGGGGTTGTTTGAGCGGGAGTGGGAGTCGGTGAAAGATGGACCGGGGCTGGCACAGCAGACTCGGCTTGGAAGTATTCAGCAGGCTCCTCTTCCTGGTTGAGCTCGTACTTTGCAAGAGGGCTTGTGGGCTGACGTTTGGCGGCCTCAACGGGGGACATTGGTGGGATGAAAGGAAGTTTCTTCACGGATCGGACCGGAGATGGGATCTTTTGGAACGTCCCGGTGACAGGGGAGAATGTAATCAGCGGTTCTTCGGATACATCGCTTGAATCTATCGGTGCGTGCTTGGGAGGCGGTGGTGTTTTGTCTCGAATGCTTGGGGAAGTTGGCGAACCGGCCTTCGGGACGTGCTGTTCAGCAGGCAGGCGGTTGGAGACTGGTTGATCGAGCATTTCAGCGTGAGGAGTCTGTCGAGTAGAGGCTTGGTGGTTTCGGTGCCGGGCGTCCACGTGCATTTCAGGACTTGCACCCTTGATCTGGGCTTGAGGTTGAACATGGGCGCTCTCCATCTCCTCCACGAGGCGACACGAACAACGCTTGAACTGGCATTCCATACGCAGAAACTCTGCCAGTTCTTCTGCGTTCTCTCTCATGCGCGTTTCCAGCCGAAGAGAAATCTGGAGATGTTCAACCATGGCTTGGCTGCGCATGACATCCATACGATCCTCCTGTCGAGCCTCGTTGAGAGCAAGTTTAAAGTCCTCTTCGCTAGGTCTCACGACAACCTGTTTGGCAATCTCCAGAGGAGCCTCTTCGGGGGCTTCAACCAGGGCATTTTCGGGGGCTTCTTCTGGGGTTTCCTTAACATCGGTAGGAGGCATCTCTTGAGTCTCTTGAGGGGCTTCTTCGATTTCTTCTTTGATGGCCTGCCGGGGAGTCTGTTCCTCTGTGTCCCTCTCTTCTACTGCCACATCGGATAGTCGTAGTCTCTTCGGGGGTGTGGCCTTCGTGGGGGTCTCCTCCGTTTCATCGATGGGAAAGTCGGCCAAGTAGTCTGCGGATCGTTTCGGTCTTCGAGACGCCGGGGTTGCAAGTAGGGTAAGATCGCCTTCTGCTAGAGACACTCTCGAGCCCTCCTCCTTGCGCAGTGCTCGATCGCGGGTCTTCAGGGGGTCGGCACTGTTTTTAGCTTCCGCAACGCGCAGTCGTGCTTTCAGCTCCTCGAGTTCTTCGGTGAGTCCAGCAATTGCGTAGGCTCGCTCGAAAGCTTCCTGTTTAGCCTTATCTTTCGATTTTCGCTCCACCTCAAGTTCCTCTTTATATGCCTTGGCCTCCCCTCGTGCTTCCTTCAAATCTTCCTGCGTTTTCACCAAGGTCGATCCTGCACGAAAGGCCTCCTTCCGTGCCTTCCGGATTTCCTTCTCGAATATCGTTCGTTCGTGGGCTTTGCGTTCCTTGGATGCTTGCAACTCCTCCAGCAGCGACTCAAGGCGCTCGCTGATACGGCGCTCGCGAGATTGCGCCTCGGAAAGTTGAGCGGATACATTCGATAGCGCAGACTCTGCCTCTTCGCGTCCAAGAATGGCTCGTTGAAGGGCTGCCGATGCGCTGGCAGATTGCTGCTGTGCCCCTGCCGGGCTACCCGACCGCGATAGCTGGTTCAAAAAGGCAACCTTGGATTGTACATCAGAGTTGGCCCTAGCGCTTTTCCGATGAATGTCGAAGATATCGGATGATTTCGAGGGGGACTGGGGCGGTAGTTGCTGTTGGTTTATTCGTTCAGGCGAGAGGGGGTTGAGTGCTTTTGTCGGACTCGACAACAGCTTCGTTGGCGACGACATGATGGATGCCGTACAGGTAGACAAGTGAAGGTTAGTAGGATGAAGAGGTCAACAAGCCAAGCATGACAGCCACTGTGTGAGGACTCAAATAATAACAGCCCCGTGGCCAATCGCGCCGGTGTGGAGTGGTTGTTCGGTTGATCTTTATCGGTGACGCACCCACAACAACGCCAACTTGTTTACTGCCAAGCCCATGGTTTGTGTCATGTGACTGTTGCCCTTGACAACCTGCGCTTTTCCCGATATGGACGGCTTCCTGTCACGTGGAAGAGTACCGACGCTATGCCCAAAGTGGCACATCCCACTATCGGGTAGCCCGTGCGCCACGCTGTGACGCATTCCGCCATCGTCCCTCGCTGTTCGGGCAGAGAGCTTAAGCTAAGTCTATTTTGGTTTTTGAGGTGTATGTGTGTGTGTGTGTGCTGTATACTTCCACTCTATACTATCCCGGCTGACCTTTTGATGGTCTTCACGTCTAGCAAAACCAATGTCCCGTCTTACGTAGCAAATTTACTTCCGAATCAGACATGCATGAGATTATCACTCTCCAACTAGGCCAGAAGGCCAATTACTTGGCAACGCACTTCTGGAACTTGCAAGTAAGCTCAAATTGATATTCTGATTCTCAAGTCCTTCCAGCTCATAATGATTTTCTAACTTTTGATCAGGAATCATACTTCACATATGACACCGAAACCGAGTCTGCTGTTGACCATGACGTTCACTTTCGTCCCGGCGTAGGAGCCGATGGGTCCGAGACGTATACTCCACGAACGGTCATATACGACTTGAAGGGTGCGTTCGGCACTCTTCGCAAGTACAATGCCCTCTACGAGCTGAGCGAGGACGCAAATCCAGGCCAAGGACTTTGGTAAGAACTCTCGATCTCTTTTGCCCATATCTTGGGGAGAGTCAAGTATGATGTACTGGTCCTCACCGTCTATAGGGATGGAAAGGAGATTATACAGCAGCAGACAGCTGTTCCTCAGAGTGACTACCAAAAGAACCTAGATGCAGGGCTTCCGGCACCTCAGCTTTCTGCAGAAACGGTGCGGTATTGGTCTGATTACAACCGACAATTTTATCACCCACGTTCCATTGTCCAGCTGAATGATTACGAGCTCAACTCCAGAGTAATGCCATTTGAGGACTGGAATGTCGGCGAGGACCTTTTCGATGATCTCGACAAGGGGCATGACTTGCTTGACCGAGACGTGAGACCATTTGCAGAAGAATGTGACCAGCTGCGTGCGCTTCAAATCTTCACAGGGTCAGACGATGCCTGGGGTGGGTTTGCTGCGAAGTATGTTGACAGGCTGCGAGATGAGTATGGCAAGAAGGCCATCTGGGTCTGGGCTATTGAGAGTGGCGCAAAGGTTCACCGGGTAAGTATTTTCTGGCAGTTCTCTCTTTAATTTGTCATGACACTTATCTTTCTCGAATCTAGCAAACACAGATTAAACGAGACATGAACAAAGCCCGGACTATTTGTAACATCTCCCCTCAAAGTTCCTTATACACTCCCATCATAGACCCACCCAGCCGCCTTCCAAGCACCATCAATCTCAACCCGCACTCCCAATGGTACACTTCAGCATTGATTAGTTCTGCCATGGAGACGGTTACACTGCCCACTCGTCTTCGTCCGTACCACGATTTCGAGGCGTCTTTGGCAGGCGACGACAGTATTCACAGAATTTTCGAGCTGCAGTCTTCCATTTTGAGGACGGTGGACGATGAGAAGCAGAGTTCTAATTCTAAGGGATCAAATGAAGGAGACGAATCGTCCAAGGTCCAGAAAGAATTTGATTTAGACTTCTCGTATGATAGTCTGGATAGCAACACGTCCCATATCTTCAATCAACTTAAGGTGAGACGCGGAATTGAAGGTACCGAGGACAAGATCCCTTCCATGAAAGACCTGAGTCTTATCCGGAAAGAGCGCACTTATAACTCGGAGCCAAATTTCCAAAGGTAAGTGCAGACTACATCCATGTGCGCCGCAAACAGCTCATTTATCTTTTAGTTTCCACACGTCACTGCAATTCCCCGTTCTGGACAGTTTCCCGAGTGACTTATTCTCGGCGGCTAACCCGGAAGGAAAGATGAACGTTCTCGCAACTTTGACGGCATCCTCGCGGACAGCGGACAGAATTAAAGCCATGGAGACAGTTGCAAGCCGGATCATCGGTATTGACGAGCGTGAGAATATTGTGAATGGGCTAGGGGAGATTCGTGAAACCTATGAAACTGGGTGGATGAGTGACTCGGATTTTGATGACGAGTAAATAATTCCCAGTTGATCATACAAAAAAAGAATTCCTTTTTGACCGTGTACGAGTAGGTTCTTGTTGCTAAGTTAAGATTTTTCTTGGTAACTATATATAATCCGGTTGGTGACTTAATATTATGTCAAAATAAATCAATCCTTATTCCATATGATGGACCTAGGATGTTGAAGGATAATCCCAGTTGATCCGTACTCTGTCAGATTTACTCACAAATGATATGCTACGCTACTGTATAGTAACTCTGATTCATGCAGCGACAATAACAGAATCGACAAGAATAATGAAAAGCCCTGCAGATCGGCGCCCTGTGATCTGCAGGGCCAGGGATGCAAACATGCCGTACCGGGGGGTGTTTGCACCGACGGGCGGCCAAACGTGTCCTCTCCCGGTTCCAAAGTCCCTTCGAGACAATTCGACTCCTTGTCGTTCGGAGGTTCCCATTACTCATGCTTACTGCCAGGTGGCCAGTATTTTCTGTACCTGGTTGCCGTCTGAATGGATCTGTTGACTTAACCTTTTTGTACGAACCCTCTTTCCTCGTTTCCTCTCTATTTATCGCTGACCGACTCGACTCGCAGTTTACGATAACAAGCTTGCTTCGCAGCTGTGGGCCGGAGCTTTGGATTGTCACTTGTTCAGCAGGTGATCCTTAGCCCCTCAGAACACACACTAAAATAAGACCTGTGTCTTTCCCATTCTTTCAGAGAACTGCTCAGACTCTATTCAAAGTATGTGTCTAGATCGCGCAAGGAGCCACTGTGACTGAATTGACTAACACGCAGCGCTAACTAGGACTTCACAGACAATGGCGTCCCCTGGCCGGCAACGGAGCGTAGCTCCGCTACGCCTTTTCAGCTCTCCAGTTCTTTCCTTCCTCATCGTCCCTTTCCTCGTCTTCTTCCTCAGCTTTCCCGCTTCCGCCGCCGCCGCGGGCTCCGGCGTCATTGGTATCGATGTAGGCACCGAATACTTCAAGGCCGCGCTCGTCAAACCCGGAATTCCCCTTGAAATCGTTCTTACCAAGGATTCGAAACGCAAAGAAACAGCTGCTATTGCATTCAAACCCACCAGAGAAGCCAATGCTCCGTTCCCCGAAAGATTCTACGGTGGCGATGCTCTTGCCCTCTCCGCTCGGTATCCTGACGAAGTTTACGCGAACCTGAAGACACTCCTCGGACTTCCCTTCGAAAATGGAGAGAACGAAGTCGTCAAGACCTACCATGATCGCTACCCTGCTCTCAGGCTGGAAAGCGCCGGTGAACGGGGCACCGTTGGACTGCGCAGCAACCGATTGGGCGAAGCGGAGAAGAAGGACGCATTTCTGGTCGAGGAGATTCTGGCCATGCAACTGAAGCAAATCAAGGCGAACGCTGATGACTTGGCTGGTAAAGGCTCGGACATCAAGGACGCTGTCATCACCTACCCTTCATTCTACACTGCCGAGGAAAAGAGAAGCTTGCAGTTGGCAGCGGAGCTGGCGGGTATCAACATCAACGCCTTTGTCACTGACGGCCTGGCCGTTGGGTTGAATTACGCAACCAGTCGTACGTTCCCCGTTGTCTCCGACGGACAGAAACCCGAGTACCATGTTATCTTCGACATGGGTGCCGGCTCAACCACCGCCAGCGTTCTGCGTTTCCAGGGACGCTCCGTGAAGGACGTTGGAAAGTTCAATAAGACCATCCATGAGATCCATGTCTTGGGTGAAGGCTGGGACAGGTCTCTGGGAGGCGACTCGCTGAACGATCTTATCGTCGATGACATGGTCGCGGCTCTGGCTGAAGACAAGAAACTGAAGGACCGTGTCACCGTCGCCGAGATCAAGGCTCACGGCAAGACCATGTCGAGGATCAGGAAGGACGCTGAGAAGGTCCGTCAGGTCCTCAGCGCTAACACCGAAACTGGTGCGTCGTTTGAGAGCCTGTATGAGGAGGGCCTCAACTTCAAGTACCGCATCACACGCTCCAAGTTCGAAGAGCTTGCTGAACAACACATCGCGCGGGTTGGGACACCCCTACAGCAGGCCTTGGCCGCTGCTGGATTGCAACTTGACGACATTGACTCCGTCATTCTTCATGGTGGAGCCATCCGCACACCGTTCGTCCAGAAGGAACTGGAACGCGTCTGTGGATCTTCCAAGGTTCGAACCAACGTCAACGCGGATGAGGCCGCTGTGTTTGGAGCTGCTTTCAAGGGTGCCGCTCTTAGTCCCAGCTTCCGCGTCAAGGACATCCGAGCAAACGATGCCTCTGGTTACCCCGTGGTGTTGAAGTGGCCTTCTGAGAACAAGGAGAGACAGCAAAAGCTCTTCACCGCTACCTCCCAAGTGGGGCCTGAGAAGCAGGTCACTGTGAAAAACCTGAATGACTTTGACTTCAGCTTCTTCCATCAGGTGCCTGTCGGTGACAATGTAGTTGAGTCACCCCTTCTGGGCGTCCACACCCAGAATCTCACCGCCTCTGTCGGAAAGCTCAAGGAAGACTTTGGCTGCTCGGAAGCAAACATCACCACCAAATTTTCGATCCGACTCAACCCCGTCGATGGTCTCCCGGAAGTTGTCAGTGGCTCCGTGAGCTGCGAGGTGGAGAATGCCAAGAAGGGAATTGTCGATGATGTCAAGGGTTTCTTCGGCCTTGGGTCGAAGAAGGATGGACAGGAGCCGCTCGGCGAAGACGGAGAGGCCAAGGAATCCATCACCTTGGAGCCGGAGGAGCCTCAGGCGTCCACGACATCGTCCGCTGACGAGACCGCTTCCACCGCGTCTGCCAAGGAGAGCAAGAAAGCTCTGCCTCAAATAAAACTGGAATCGATTCCCATCAGCTTCACTTCCGCTCCCTTGGGCGTTCCTGCGCCTTCCGCGGATGAGCTCGCTCGTATCACGGGTCGCCTCGATGCCTTTGATACCTCCGACCGCAATCGTTTCCTGCGCGAAGAAGCCTTGAACGAACTGGAGGCCTTCATTTACCGGAGCCGTGATCTGACCGAAGACGAAGAGTTCGTCAAGGTGCTCAAGGCCGATCAGCTCGCTGCCCTCAAGGAGAAGACTGCCACGGCCAGCGACTGGCTCTACGAAGACGGTGCTGACGCCACCACCGCGGAGTTCAAGGAACGATTGAAGGCGCTGAAGGACATCGTAAACCCCGCACTCAAGCGCAAGAGCGAAAACGCGGACCGTCCGGCACGCGTTGATAAGCTACAGGAAGCGTTGAAGAGTGCCAAGACGGTGATCGATGTCATGCAGAAGCAGATCGATCAAGATGAAGAACTTTACTCTTCCAGTGTCAGCGCTTCGTCCGCCAGCACTACCGAGTCGTCCTCGACCACTTCTTCCAGCGAGTCGGCATCAACATCTGACTCCTTCGAAGACCTTGAGGAAGACCCCTATGCGTCTTCTTCCTCCACCAAGACCACCACCTCCATCAAGCCCCAACCCACAGGACCCAGGTACTCCGTTTTCCAGCCCTCCGACCTCACCGGCCTCACCAAAACCTACGAATCGGCCAACACCTGGTTCGAGGCGCAACTCGCCGCGCAGGAGAAACTGACCATCTCCGACGATCCCGCCCTCGTGGTGGCCGAGATTGAACTCCGCCTGAAGGAGCTCCAGCGCACCATGAACCGCATCTACGAGAAGATGGGCGCCGCGGCAGCGAGATCCGGAAAGGGTTCCTCCAAGGACCAATCGTCCAAGAAGAGCGACAAGAAGGAGAACGCCAATAAGGAGAAAGAGGCCGAGAAGGAGCAGAAGCCGAAGAAAGACCCCAACTATAAAGACGAGCTTTGAATAAATAAAAAATAGCTTACGTCATTTGATTCCCCTAACTACTTACCACACAGGTCAAATTGTTGGAGTTGGGCATGAGCGTTCTGTTCCTCTTTTTTCTCTTTGTCGTTATTATATTATTATACACTACACTACATCATATCTCCTGATCCTGTTTTGACCTTACCTCCCTACACTTTTTTTACGGCCATGATTACCTATATTGTGTGCCCTGTGATTTCTTTGTATCTCCGGTGCCTGTGCTGTATGTAAACTAGATAGAGGCTCTATCGTGTTTCAAAAAAAAGAAAGTATTCATGTTGGAATGATACAATATTCGCATATTGGTACTAGCTATTCTATTCGTACAAAAAGTAAGACTCGCTATGAGAACCCATCCATCCTGATAGCCTGTCTTTCTGACAGACACCAAATCAAAACCGTTCTCGGAGACCTGGGTATTTAGTAACATGTGCAATACAAAAATCAATCAATCGCCTGGTATGATATCCCAATCCGAATAACGCCCAGTAAAAATGTACACATGAAGCATGTCGTAAGAAGAAAAACCAAGACGCAAAAGTTACAGCGTTCAGGCAGAAAGCGAAGACTCAGGTCCTCGAGCATACCCAGAAGATGGTTATGATTGCGCCGAGCAAACACCGAAACCAGTCGGTGTGGTTGCATCATATCCATGCACAACTCGAGGCCCGAAGATAAAGGTATGTCGAGGGTATGTAGATTTCTGAGCATTTGGGGTGTTGTGTTGTGGAAGAGGTGACGGAATATCTAAATTCCTCCCATTTGGATCTCATAGCCACTTTCACGGCCCGGGACGTAATCCATGTCGACCTCCTCCCGACGCCTCAGGAAAGATGGCTCGTCAAAGTCATCGACATCCATCGTTCTCTGCTGCTGCTGCAGGGCAACAAACCGACGTCGCTGGTGTCCTAGCGTGGGGGCAGGATATCTCCGTCCTGCGGTGGAAGTCAAGCTGTGCCCATTGCTTGGGTGGAGAGTCGTCGAGCTATCAGAATCAAAGTCGCACTCGTCGTCAGCCCAGTCGTCGCCGAAGGTGCGTTTCTGAGCAGTCGGTTGAGTGGGGTAAGAAGCGGCCGATTCCTGACTGCTAGCTGGAAGCGAGAAAGCGTCTCCGTCGTCTGTAATGAGCTGGTCGCCGTTGTGGTTGTAGTCCGTGCCGCAGAACGGAGGAAGCTCGGCATGGGCGCCTGCGTTGCGACGCAGGGCGGTGGGGTCGTATGAAGGGAAGGTTGTTTTGGCGTCGATTTTAGATCCATTGGTCTTGTAGCCGTCGGCGACGGATTTGCGGACACGCATGCCGACGGAGAGAAGGGAGGACTGGACCGTTGCGGGGACCGTGGGGGTGGGGGAGTAGGTCCTGGCGGAGTAGTGATTGTGTGAGATGTGTGCATCGCAGGCAGAGGCTGATTCAGAAGAGCTAGAAAAGAAGGTGGTGATGGGTGGTTGAAATCGCCGGCGTTTCGAGAGGTCGTTTGTTTTAGGGGCAGTTTGCAAAGCAGGCGACATGATGGAGTCCAAAGTGAAATAATGCTAGTATTAAGGGTGTATTGGGTTTCCCCTTGCTTGTCTAGCGGAGTAGTGATGTCAAGGAATGACTTGAGAAAGATCGGGGAATGTGGATGATGAGGGGGAAGGATGCAAGGAAAGAAAGAGGAGTGGAAAATAAATGAGGCTGGGGAAGTTTCGGCGGGACGCGACGCGGGGTGACGCGCATATGCACGTGCCAGACATCCAATATATCCTCTTTGGGACGCGCTTAGGGCCTAGGGTTGCCAGGGGAAACTCGTGACGTTTATATATATCTTCCCAAGTAGATCCAGAGTATGAGAAGCTTTTCGAAGTTTCCAATGAATATACCGCTCTATAAGACAATTTTTAAACTAGCTATATACGATCGAACGTACTTAATTACCAGCGTTTCCTCTCCGACCACCGCGTCTCTGTCGGTCTTGATGAGCCCTCAGCACATTACGTGTTTCCACCAAACTTCTCTTGCCCTTGCTCCGCGCTTTACCCAATGTCATAAGGAAGTTCTTTCTGCGCGCCTTTTCTTTGTTCGTAGTACTCTTGCCCTCGGACTCCTTTTTCTCCTTGCGCTTTGCCGTCACACTCTTGTGGTCAGCTCGGTCGGTCTTGCCCTCCTTAGCATGAGCAATTCGTTCTTCACGGGTGAGTTTTCCGGCGGATAGGGCGTTCAGTCCTTCAATCTCCTCCGCCGTCAGGGGGTCGTCTGTGTGGCGGGTGCCGTTCGCTTGCTGTCCACGACGAGGCTTGCCACCCGACACAAGGTCATTGACCGCCGCTTCGGTGCGAAGCTCTTGAAGTTTGGCCAAGTCGGCTGGCGTAAGAATACGGGTCGTCGCGATACTGGGTTTGGACGACTCGGGCTTGTTCTCCGTGGCGTCACGGTTGGTCTTCTCGCCAGACTCGTCGCCCTGTTTGGCCTTCTTAGAAGGGGGACCGCCTTTCTCGTCTTCTGAGTCGCTCAGCTCAATTTCAGCATCGCTCTGCACATTGATCCATTCCCCAGAATCGTCGCTATCTTCATCATCCTCCACATTCCAAGCTGCCCAGTTCGCTGCTTCATCTTCCTCCTCGTCTTCTTCCGCGTCAGAAGGCAGGCCCTTCTCAGCCAGCCGCCTCTTGCGCTCCTGCTCCTTCCAGTTCTCCAGAAGCTCGAGTCCTTCGATGCCGCCGGTCTCCTGCTCTCCGAATCGCTTCTCCTTCTTATCTCCCGACCGTAGACCCATAGATGCCTCCTTGCCACGGTCACGTCTCTTCAGCATCTCCGGGTTCAGATCCCGGAAGAGACTGAGCAAGCCTCGGGCTCCCATAACAACACCCTTATCCTTACTCTTCCTGTACATGACGAGATCTTGCAGCAACGTCTCGTTCATGGCCAAAGGCTGTCGTGCACAAATTTCTCGGATGGCGTTGAGACCAGCCGTGGCCACTTCCGATGCCGATGCCTCAGACACGAATTCATTGGCAATCTTCTGGACGAGAGGCTCGAGATCATCGGGGGGGATCAGGTCGTGCGAAGCCTGCGCAAGTGATGCCAAAAACGATGTGACGGACGGCTGCCGAGGGGTAAGGTATTTCTGGAAGTAGGAGTAAAGATGCATGATATGTAGTTTATGCAATCCAACCAGGCGGGAAACAAGCTGAAGCACCTGGAGTTTCTGCTCCAAATTAAGCTTCGCTTTGGTGTTCTGGAGATGTTTCGAAAACAAAGTCTCCGCGTAGCCCTGAGGATCGTGCAGAAGATGAAGGGCGGAGAAGTTCAAAGGATGGGGCTGGCTCTTCTTACGCTCCTTTCTCTTGACCGTAGCTTTGGCCTTTTCCACGGCGCGAGACTGCTTTCTCGTCTTCTTGTTGATTCCAACCTGGTGTTTGACCCGACCGATATCAACGGCTTCGTCGTCACTGCTCTCATCTTCCATGTCTTCGCGCTCTTTGTCGCCGCCCAGGAAGAAGCGAACGCCGCCGATGATGACCTTTTCGTTCTCGGAAAGACTTGCCTCTTTCATGACTTCAACAGCTTTGGCGTCTGACCAGATCTGGCGCTTCCAGAGTTCACGGGTGAGTTTAATGGCCCACAAGCCCTTGGATGAGGTCCGATCCGAAGTGACCAAGTTGAAGAGGACTGTTTGCATGGTCCGGTTCAGTTTGTGGTTTATCGTCTTGGCATTGGATGAGCGGAGGTCCATCAGAATCTTTTGGAAGATCAATGCTCTTAGCGTCTTGCTAGGTGTCGAGATAAGAATCGGAAACAGCGTTTGTAGCAGTCTAAGAACCGAAAGCAATCAATTAGCAGGTAGATCACAGAGATCTATAAAACCTAGTGACTTACGTCGCCGAGTCGAGAAGATCCTTCTTCCTCAAGAGAACCAGGCTTCCGACGATCTTCTCGCGCAGTTCTGGTTCCAACACCTGATGATGTTGCGACAAGATGTCGATGAGCTCTTGAGGGAAGTCTTTGGTGATTTCGGGGTAGCAGTCGGCGACATGAGCGATGAAATCGATCAGCTCTCGCAGCGAAATAATTCCTGTGTCGGCCGCAGATGCTGGCGCCGCCATGAAGATCTCGCGGTGACTCTCATATTGGTAATGTTGAGCGCGGAAATCTTCGACATAGGACCTGGCGCAAACGGACAGACGTTAGTATCATGCTCTAGCCGACAAGATGAAGTATTTAGCGTGAAGGTCTCACTTCGGGTCCCGACGGATTTTATGTTGGAGGTTAGGCCTGTACAAGAAGAGATGGAGGTGTTAGCGGCGAACGAAAACTTCACGTTGGAGGCCAGAATGGCGCCCATCACAGAAGGATTGAGAGATACATACAAGTCAGCCTCGACCTTTTCCAAGGCTCCCAATTTTCTCTTCACCATTGCGACGGAAGGGGTTCTGGAAGAAACCCAAGAGGTGTGGTAGATGGATAGAGGTTGTGGTCGGAGTGATCGCTGAGCTCCGCCGGGGAATTTTTTTTTTTTTCTTTTCCCTCCAGCACGGGGGCGGCCTATCGATAAGCGATCGAGTTCTCACGCTCGAAGTACCGACGAGTCTGGCCTGCATATGGGAAACTTCCATCACATGAATAATAATTACTTTATTTTCTTTCTTCAACTCTAATTGGGATGGATATTAGGTAGGTGCTCGTCATTTTAAATTCGTTACTTGCCTCGTCTCTTATCGGAGATTTGCCAGACCAGTCGGCGAAAAGGTCCAAATACCTACTGTCACTGAAAATGATGGCGGGACTTTCAGAGAACAAAAAGATATCTTTTTCATGTAAAAAAATCCTAAAGGTGCCGACTTTAATAAAAAAAAAGCCTGTGAGGTCTTCATGATCGCATCTCAACTACTGTAGAAGAAAGCCGTCCGATTTTTCCTTTTTTTTGTTTTGGATGTTGCTCCCTCCCGTTGACTGTCTTCAGGTATGTACAGTCGCGCAGATGCATGCAAATCGACTGAATCCTAATAAACCCCCCGTCCACTCCAGTACACATAAAACCAGGACCAAACGGAGAATACGCCCAAAATTACCCCTTTACCGGTTGCTCTTGGCAACACGCTCGAGCTCGTCCTTCTTCTTGATGGCATAAGAGTTGGAGCTACCCTTGGCAGCGTTGATCAGCTCCTCAGCCAAGCACTCGGCAATGCTCTTGATGTTACGGAAAGAGGCCTCACGGGCACCGATGGTCAAGAGAGCGATGGACTGGTTGACACGGCGGAGAGGAGACACATCAACGGCCTGGCGACGGACGGTACCGGCGGAGCCAATACGGGTGCTGTCTTCACGGGGACCGCAGTTGACAATGGCGTCGACGGCGACCTGGAGAGGGTTCTGGTCGGTCATGATGTGGATCTATCAATGCAAAAAATCTTGTCAGCGTCCTGTGCTCGATTCCTCCATTTGCGATATGCATATCATTCTGTCGCGGGGAAAGCACGTACGATCTCGAAAGAGTGGGCAACGATGCGGACGGCCATGAGCTTCTTTCCGCTGTTGCGGCCGTTCATCATGAGCGAGTTGGTCAGACGCTCGATGATGGGGCACTGAGCCTTGCGGAAACGCTTGGCGGCATAGCGACCGGCGGTGTGAGGAAGGTAGACAGGGGAGCGGATCTGGATGTAGTCGCTGTACGAATGAATTCCTGGTCAGCCAATCCCATTCTGGATATTCCTGGTGTTGTTGTCTTCGCGTCTCGGGCCCGCGGTTCTCCATCGCAATTCGCATCCAATATTTCCCTCCCATTTCAAAAACCGATGGTCGAACCATAGCCCAAAATTCCTCCTCTCGCGGTCTGTCCTGAAAAAATCGCATGGGATTGAGGATCACCTACGTCAAGGAGATATCCCTGATCTCAACATCCTCGTAGCTCCACTTGTTGAAGAGCTTGACGGCACCCTGCTCGGCGATAACATCCTTGGGCAGGACGTTGAAAGCCGCAACGGGGCTTTCGACCTCGACTTCCCCGTGATCAGACATATTGACACCTGTTGTCGAGGGAGGGCTTCGTAAAAAGGTGACGGACGGTGTCGTTGGGTGAACCTGCGATGTCGACGATAGCAGTCGGTCGGCTGAAATGTGTCGGTTGGACTCAAGGAAATTCAGGTGCGCCTCGCTTAGTTGTGGGTGGAGTTAGGGCAGAGGGTGCCCCAATGAGCGGGTAGAGGTCATGTGAGCACTGCACTAGTCGCCCCGGAGGCACTAGGCCAGGAACGGGCTAGCGCCCTTCCCGCTTAGACACCGTCGAAGCATCGCGGATTCCATCATAATGTAATCTATATCGGGGCCTTCCATGGATTGGGTCTGCACTCGGCAAACAGGGTTCTGGGAGTATGCCGTTTAAACCTTAGTCCCGTAGATGATTCCCATCGCTTAATGTTACTACTTACTAGAATTGTGCATATAAATCCCAAATAGGATCCACCTATCTCTCCAACCCCGTGGTCAATGCTCATATCGTAGATGCTGATTACCGAGGGAGGATATTATATCTTCTCCTTTGGTCCCCCAAAGTAGAGATACATCGATATGGTGTTGTCGGCCCTTCTGAGAGCCCGCCACGAAAGTGAAAGACGCCTCCCAGTTCTTCCGCCGAGGTCAACGGCGATCCGTTTTGCCCGGTGACCCAAGAAGGCGCCCTGAAAATGTGGCGGTGTAGCCCTCTGCCCCCCTTGATTGGTTCCACGGGTGTTTGTGGGATGATCAACCCTAGCCACATCGGCAGGTGACGTTGTGGCTTGGAATTGAATAAGCGCGGAGAAACAGAGACAACAATGCGAATACCACCCTGACAGCGACATCGCAAACTGCCTCACGAGTCCAAAGATCCTCTCGTTTCGTCAAGTGCCCTTAGATAGCGGCCCCATCAACCCTGCGATGAGGATCTCCCCGTCCCTCTTATTCTGTTTCCTGCGCATTTGAGCGAAGAACCCCTCAATTAGTCCCGCCCCTGCGCTTCTGTGAAGATGGCCGATGACAACCCCGAGGTCCAGGCCGCTTTGCGGGACCTGGACAAGGAATTGGAGGTATGGAAACCGAAGCGACGCGCTCATCGTCCAGTGCGGTAATTTTGAGCGCCATATAGCTAACGAGTTCTCGCTATCGTGTAGGAGGGTGATATCACGGAGAAAGGGTAAGCGCCCTTGACCAGACGGATACAAGAGACTGGGCCTGTGTTTGAGCGCTGTGGATCATGATTGATTGCCTTATCTGTTTCACGCTGGGAGACAATTCATGTGGCATACTTGCGCCCGCGGAAGTGGTCTTGAGCTGACTTGATAAAAGTTACCAGAAGCGGCGCACGATCCTCCTTTCCCAATTCTTTGGGCCGAACATGGCCCTCGGTTTCAATGCACCTAGTCCAGAAGACCATTCCCCATCAATGACAAGTTCAAGCAACGCTCCGCAAGCAATCCTCAACGTTCGACCGCCAACGGCCGATTCTGCAAACCCGGAATTCGCTGCGCATTCGCCCTTCCATAGCAACCGTGATACTCTTCAGGGCAGCGGAAGCCTCGGATGGGACCGAAGGATCAGCGCAGATACTCAGACTTCTGCTGATAGAGACAGTACGTTCCTGCATGGCCACGACCGGATGCCATCGGCTGGATCTTACGATTCCCTCTTCCTCCCGAAGCCACCGCAAGCCCCTGGCATGCAGGAGGACTCACGGACGGCGACCCTTATGAGCCAGAATTATGCGTTCAACCCTGCTGCTCACCACGAAACTATAGATCAACCTACTCCGGGTGGCTATGAGGGTTACGAAGACTATGACGCCACACCCGGCGGGGTCACGCGACAGTCGACCATGCTCGATTCTCAGCAAGGATACTTCTCGGACTTCGCGGGGCAGCAGCAGGATGATTACAGGGATAGCTATTGTGGTGGTGGATTTCACAGATACTCTCAGTCTGATGCTTTTTCGCCCACTGCAAACATGGCGCCACCACTGATCCCTGCGTCTGAGCTGCCTGATGGCCCGACGATCAACCACATGCTTCCCTTAGAGCCCCGTGACATCCCCTTTGCTGTGCAGGACCCGCACGATAAGAACGTCTCGATGGCGAACTTCGATAATATACCCACCGTTCTCCGACACCGGGCACGGGTTCACTCCAAGCAGGCGGCTTATTGGGTTCTGGACCAGAAAGGCAAGGAAATTGCATCGATCACATGGGAGAAACTTGCAAGCCGAGCTGAGAAGGTCGCTCAAGTTATTCGTGACAAGAGTAATCTGTATCGCGGCGATCGCGTGGCACTGATTTACCGCGATTCCGAAATCATAGAATTTGCCGTGGCTCTCATGGGCTGCTTTATCGCCGGAGTCGTGGCGGTTCCAATCAACAGCCTAGAAGACTATCAGAGTCTTAACCTGGTTCTTACTTCGACCCAGGCGCATCTTGCACTGACCACGGAGAACAACCTGAAGAACTTTCAGAGAGACATCACTACGCAGAAACTTAACTGGCCGAGAGGAGTGGAATGGTGGAAGACTAATGAGTTTGGGAGCTTCCATCCGAAGAAGAAGGATGACACGCCACCTGTGGTTGTTCCAGATCTCGCCTACATCGAATTCGCGCGGGCTCCCACAGGCGACATGCGCGGTGTCGTCATGAGCCACCGTACCATCATGCATCAAATGGCTTGCTTGAGCGCGATGGTTTCGACCGTGCCGCCCAACTCTAGCAGCTCAAGGCAGCGCGGTGAAACCCTCATCAGTTACCTGGATCCCCGCCAAGGCATCGGTATGATTCTAGGCGTACTTCTGACGGTGTACGGTGGACATACAACTGTCTGGCTCGAGGACCGGGCGGTTGAAACCCCTGGACTTTACGCCCATCTCATCACGAAGTATAGAGCTACGCTCATGGCTGCCGACTACCCTGGATTGAAGATAACTGCCTATAACTACCAACAGGATCCGATGGCTACTCGGCATTACAAGAAAAACTCCGAACCCAACTTCGGAAGTGTTAAACTCTGCCTCATTGACACCCTCACTGTCGACTCGGAGTTCCACGAAATTCTCGCAGATAGATGGCTCAGGCCTATGAGGAACCCGAGAGCCCGGGAGATCGTCGCTCCGATGCTCTGCTTGCCGGAGCACGGCGGTATGGTGATCAGTGTCCGAGATTGGCTGGGAGGCGAGGAACGGATGGGTTGTCCTTTGACCCATGAAATGGACCCCGAGGAACGCGAGGAATTTAAGAAAGAGGAGAAATCATCTGAGAAGGCTTCTAACAGCGGGTTTGGAAGCAGTCTGCTAGGCGGAGGGTCAGCGGCCCCAGCCCCGAAGGAGCAATCGAAAAATGAACTCGGAGAGGTTCTGTTAGACAAAGAGTCTTTGAAGAGCAACGAGGTCGTTGTCTTGGCCATGGGTGAAGATGCTAGGAAATTTGCCGGAGCGATGCCACACGCTGTTCGTGTTGGTTCGTTCGGTTATCCGATCCCTGATGCAACTCTTGCTGTCGTGGACCCCGAGACCAGCCTGTTGTGTACCCCAAATGTCATCGGCGAAATTTGGGTGGACTCTCCCTCCCTCTCTGGAGGCTTCTGGGCGCTGCCGAAGCATACCGAAGCCATCTTTCATGCACGTCCGTACAAGTTTGAAGATGGCAATCCCACGCCTATTCTGGTGGAGCCAGAATTCTTGCGAACCGGTCTTCTTGGCTGCGTGATAGAGGGTAAGTTGTTTGTGCTTGGTCTCTATGAGGACCGTCTTCGTCAGAAGGTAGAATGGGTGGAGCATGGCCAGGAGATTGTGGAACATCGCTATTTCTTCGTTCAGCACATGATTGTCAGTGTCCTCAAGAATGTGCCCAAGATACACGACTGCACTGCGTTCGACGTTTTTGTCAACGAAGAACATCTTCCGATTGTTGTTCTAGAATCATACGCAGCATCAACAGCACCAACAACCTCAGGCGGCCCCCCTCGACAATTGGACTCTGCTCTCCTCGAGTCTCTGGCAGAAAGATGCATGGAAGTGCTCTACCAAGAGCATCACTTGCGAGTCTACTGTGTGTTACTGACTGCGCCCAACACTCTTCCCCGCGTTACCAAGAACGGAAGACAAGAGATCGGCAATATGCTCTGTCGCAAGGACTTTGATGCCGGTACTCTGCCTTGTGTTCACGTCAAATTTGGTGTGGAGAGGTCGGTAATGAATCTGCCCATTGGCGTTGACCCGGTCGGAGGTATCTGGTCACCACTGGCCTTGATGTCGCGGCAAGAAATGCTTGGCCTGGAAGAGAAGCAGTACTCCGGTGTGGACTATCGGGATGTTGTTATGGACGATCGCACATCGACGTCACTGAACAACTTCTCAACTATTGTGGACGTTCTTCAGTGGCGTGTTTCTCGACAGGCGGAGGAGCTGGCTTACTGCTCCATTGACGGCCGTGGAAAAGAAGGGAAAGGCATTACCTGGAAGAAGTTCGATATGAAGGTTTCGGCTGTCGCGACCTATCTACGAAACAAGATCAAGGTTCGTCCCGGCGATCACTTGGTCTTAATGTATACCCATTCCGAGGACTACGTCTATGCTGTCCATGCCTGCTTCTGCCTTGGGGTTGTTGTCATTCCCCTGGCTCCGATTGACCAAAATCGTCTCTCGGAGGACGCTCCTGCCTTCCTTCATGTCATCAATGATTTCCATGTTAAAGCAATCATTGTCAACAGCGATGTGGACCACGTCATGCGACAGAAGCTTGTTTCGCAGCATATCAAGCAGTCGGCCCAGGTCCTTCGAATCGGCGTACCGGCTATCTACAATACCTCGAAGCCCTCCAAGCAGTCTCATGGCTGTCGCGAAATGGGTTATACTGCGAAGGATACATGGCTGCAGAGCAATGTCCCTGCTTTGATCTGGACATATTGGACACCGGATCAGCGAAGAATCTCTGTCCACATCGGCCACGACACGATCATGGGCATGTGTAAAGTGCAGAAGGAGACTTGTCAGATGACCAGTTCAA